CAAAGCCTTCCATCCCTCCTTGGCTTCTCTCATTCTTCATGTGGCTTTCAGACTCCGGTGCTCTGTGTTTACTGAACTCCCGTCTCACCCCTTTGCTTGATGACGTTGAGTAAGCAACTTAATCTCTGAGCCTGTAAAAATATTAATTCATTTATTATGGTACAGATATTGCCATATATTTATATACATATGGATTGAATGAGATAATACATTTAAATCTCATAGCACAATACCTGAGCATTTAGTAAGCCAAATAACAATTAGAGATGAGCTCATTTGATGCATTAGTTGACTTTTGCTTTAGAGCAAACCATCCTAATACTCAGCGGCTTAAAGCAACCACCATAATTTAGTTGAAGATTCTGCTGGGCAGTTCTGATTTGGCCAGGCTTGGCTGCTCTTTCATGTAGTGCTGGTCTCACGTGGCTGGTTGGCTTGAGGTTGGCTGGTCCCAGGTGGCCCCACTCACATATTGGCTGGTGGGTTGGTTGTCTCTTGGAACAACAGAGATGACCAGACATCATCCAAGCAAGTTCAAACTTCCTTGGAATCCAGAGCCCCCAGCAAGGACCTGTGCTCTTTTCTGTATGTGCCCTACATTCTCATCTACCTCACTGTTTCTTGAATATAGTCTTTGCCTTCTGGACCTTGTTTCTTGAAAACAAGAGTCTGTCTTAATCCTCTCTGCATTCTGAGTGGACAGCACAAAATAGTTGAATGAATGCATAAATACAGTTTTGCCGATGTGGACTATTTCGTTATCTTCACCTACTAATCCCGTAAGTTCACCGTTACGTGCCGCCTACCTCATGAAGTCCATTTGATCTCTTGAACTCTGGGAAGTTTGGAGGTGGTTTTTGGTATTGATTTATAAGAAATGTCGAATATTAAAATCTTACATTAAAGCATTATAGTTAATCTAACATCCTGTCTTAAATGGAGTCTTCTCTAAGTGCTATAGTGGCATTGAAAAGCTGTAAATAGTTTTTTAATGATGTTCATAAAAACAGGAAAGTTTGGTTTCTTAGTTCTGCATACATTTATGGGGCAAACTTGTAATTGTGAATTGGTGAGAAGAAGCCGTATTTGCTCACTCAGTCCACTTACATTTATAATGGTATTGGTCTACAGAAAGGATTGTTTTTTTAGGGCAAGGAAGTTTTTTGTCTTCATTTCTGTTTTTAATTTAACAGAGCTCAGGAGAAAAGAAAGATAAAGTTGTTACAAGAGGCAGCACTTGCATGTGCTTCTTTCTGCCTTCGCCCACTCTATTTTACTCTCTAACTTGCTTTTTTGGACCTATTAAGTGACTAATGATGAACATTGCCAGCTTTCTTTTTTCTTAAACTTCGTGTAAGTCACAGTCGAGAGTTTCTGGAGAGTTGAAATACCATGATGCAGTAAATTATGCAGTGTGGCGTGATGGGGAGTGGGGAAGAATTCCCCAGTCCTCTCATCTGGGCCTCAGGAAAACTAAATTCGAATCCTGGCTCCGACAGTGACTTACTGGTGAATTGGAACAAGTTAATTTATCTTTGGCTCAGGTAGCTGAGTTTGGTAATCTTAAAGGTTTCTCTCCATTTCTGAAATACTGTGCTGTTTCAGTTAAGTATAGCTCCTTCTGGAACTTAGTAATAAACATTACAGGTGAGCACCAGTGTTTACAATGAAAGAAGTGGATACACTAATTAGATATTCAATACCTACAGGGTCAATAACATGTATATAGAAAAGGTACCCTTTGGATTCATTTTTGAAAATAGGTGTTTGTGAGGCAGGCATGGTGGAAGGATTAGCAGGATGGAGATGTGCAGAAATTACAGAGGTGAAAGTGGCTGTGAAATGCATCATGAATTCTAGAGCTAAGTTGGTGTGGCTGGAGCGTGTGGTACTTGGGTAGCATTTCCACTGTGTTCCCCTCCCGGTGCAGTTGACTGTACCTCCAGAGCGCATCCACGGTTTTCCTAGTATGTGCCTGCTTCATTAGGACATTTTGTTTTCTCTTTGGGGTTCATTTTGTATGGAAATTCCATGGGAAGCACTTGTTTTCCCCTTCTCTTAGGGGCTGTACCACCTCACGCCATCCCCATAGGACATACATGCACTGCCCCTCCCTGGTGATGGTGTTCAGGACCAGAAAACTGTGACACTTGTGACAGGATTCCTTTTGGTACAAGTGTGCGAATCTAGGAAGAAAGGTCTTTTTTTTTTTTTCAGTCTGAAATATCTTTCATGTTCATGAGATCTTACCTGTAACTTAAATTGCAGTAGCCACATGAGGCTCGTGGCTGCTGTACTGGTTAGTTCACATCTGGATCTTTATCTTCCCTCGTGGTTACAGTCACTCATTACATACACCCTGTTAGCCTGCGGAATGGTCTCCTCCTCGTAAAAGAAATTCCTTTCCTGGTCTGCTTCCTGCCTCCCTGGCTCTCACTTGATCTTCTCTTCCAAGCTTCTCTGAAGTACTTGGAGGAGAGACTTCCTCCTTAAATTTCTCTGCCTGTGGCCTCTGGGACACCTGCTTCCCTTCCAGCCTTTGCTCCTTAGGCTTCCTCATGGCTTTCTAAACACTCATGGCCCCTACTTTAATAAGATTGGCCCACCCTTTATTTTTTGGTAGGCCCACCATTCACCATTCTTCATACTCTCTTCTGTACTTAGGGTATAACTAAGTCTGTCTCTGCCTCTGTTGACTTCCCTGCACTTCACATCTGTGCCTCTAAATGTCTGTTGGACGTCACCATCACCTGGACCATCTGTCACAGTGCTTGACACATCTTACCTGTAAATATATGTTAAATGGTTTTCTGTTAGCTCCTATATAAGCTATAAATTTGTATCATTTCCAAGTTCAGTGTAGTTTACGTGCCTCTCTTCCTCCAATGCATATTTAAAATTCTGTTCTTTTATGGTTTTAAGAAATTCATGTGTTCACACATTTAAGTGTTTCTTTAGGATAACAGAGATATAACAATATAACCAAGATATACAGGAAAGGCAGAGCCTCATGGACTTTGAAGGATACAAAAAAAGACTTTTAAAGGAGTACCGTGGGGTGATGTTATGATAAAGCAAATGAAAGAGCTTGGGAGGCCCAGCAGCAGAACCCCAGGCTAGGCCTGTCATGGGAACCCTCAGAAGTGATGTTTAAGCTGAGAGGTGGAGGAGTGTGTAGGAGTAGCTGGGCACAAAAAAAAAATGGATAAAAAGGAACATTAGGATTCATTGCATTTGAATGGAATTAATATTCCATTTGAGTTAAGAGAGAATTAATTTTAAGTATAGAGAGCATGCAAATTACTCCAAACCTAGGAGATGGTCAGGTTTGCTTTTTGTCTTTATATTGAATTGATAATACAGATGTAAGTCCATCCTTTTTAGCAGTCTGGTGTGCTATAAGGAAACGGTAAAGTGAGGAAATTGTATTTGCTAACGGGTATTTATTTATTTGCTACAGATACTTATTTGCTAACAGATATCCCTGCAATGAATGATTATGTTCTACAGAGCAGAACCCTATCTTGCTGTGAACATGCCAAGCTGTGGCCTTTTGTGCTGTTACCATTAACAGCAAGTTTTTGATGGGTACATGAGGACAATTAGATGGGACTAATCACAGCAATTTCCTGTCATTCTTGAACTGCTTAAAACGACAATCAGAAAGGGTGGTAAACTTTTGACAGGAAAAAAAAAAGGGATTAACTTTAAAAGGTTTTCGACTAATGAAAATCAAGCTTGTGCCACAGTAAGCCACGTTTTCACACCATTAAGCATTGTGAAGCATTTTCCTTGAACCTCTTTTAATCTGTAAGTACGGTTTTGGAAAAACCCCAGATTCTAGCTTACAATATAGTCTTCTGTTGTCCTTATTACAAAGAGAGTGTTGCTTCATTGAATGGTGGGGAAGATAATGTTGATGTAGATTCTTAGTGACTATTTAAGAAAAGAAAAACTTTGAATTAAATGAAAACATAAGTCTTTCATGTCCAAATTTAGGGAAACATTTTGAATAGCCTTTAGTTGGTAGTTTTGTGAAATTAGGCTAATAGAAAATCAACTAGAATGATAAAATCTGTTCTTAAATATGAGTTATTTGAGGTATTTCTCTGTGGAAAACCACAGAAAGCTGGGCAGGAGAAGGATTAGTCCTAGCGGTGATTTGCCACATAAAGGCCTCAGAATCACTCAGTTTGTACCTGTCCGTTATCAACACAGGTTGCAGAGGTTATTTTAGTGGTTGGGGGAATTTTGTTTTTAATTTCTGTGAAGTACAAGAATATATTTCACCAGTTTTAATGGCCTTCTAGGTTCCAACATATGTTGGCAGTTTAGCAGTTGTTGAAGCTCTAGAGAGAGATTTAAACTATAGCTATTCTAGTTTGATAGAAAAATCAGAGAAATAAAGAATATGGGGTTTCTTTGAGGATCATTTCTTCCTTTTTGGGGAAATTAAATGATTGTTATTTGAGCAGTATTACCTGGAAAATCACAATACTTTTTATAACAGTTCTTTATTTTTGAGGGTAGACGACCCAAAGACAATAAATCATAGTCAACATTATATTTTCCAGTGGTCCTTTTTAATACAGTTACAGAAGTTTTTTCTCAAAATTCTTAATCATCCCTGCAGCAGTCACAGCAGATATGGATGAGGTTGAAATCTTGGATAACTTCATCCCACTTTTTAAAAATCTTTTCTGACAAAATGTATGTTGAAACTACTAAACAAATTCTTTAAATGTAACTGATTTGAGTTTTTCTGCTTTCTTAATACTTCTGTCATTTATCTAATGTTTTTAAGGATCATTAAAATGAGAAAGTATAAACTATGTTGTTTGTAAATAAAATAATTAACCCTACCTGGATTAATAATTTTTTCCTCTTCAGAATAAGTTAGGCATTTGCTCAAACTTCTACACTCAGTGTGTGGTTTCAGTTACAGTAGTTTGTAACTACCTTTATTTTGTGAGGATTCATGAACTGCTATCATTTTATAGGTCTCATCACGACTACATCCAGGAAACTAGACCGCGAGCAGCAAGGTGAACACATATTAGAAGTAAGCATTTCTTTACTTTTAATAATTTTAGAAATCTCGTAATCATAAATATGGGAAAGAGCAATCTTACTCATATTATCTAGTAATTCAGAGCTGCTGCTATTTTGTTATATCACCTTATAGTCATTAATAAAAAGGAAAATAAAGAAAATGTTGTGACTATAGTTCAGGTCTGCTTTACACCCCTGTCAACCCCCAGAAGATAGACAGATGCCAAAATATCCAAGGCAGCAGGTTACGAACAGTGGCGCCCTGCTGCGGCCCCCTCACCCTGATTAGAACCGCACTACACACCTGCTAATTGTCCGCCTCACTCCGGAGCCCTCTCTTCTCAATGAATATCAGAGTCTGGGTGGGAGCAGGTATAAGGTACTTAGGACTTGGAAGATGATATTAAGATATTGATAGGATATAAGATTAGTTTACATATTGTGTATGTTTCTCTGTAGTCCTTTTGTGGTAATTTATTTGAGGGCCAGTGTTGGCATTGATTTGACTGTCTTAAAGAAGAGAGTATTTTTAGTAACATGTTAAAAGCTGTGTCGCCCGGCTGCTAGTTATGGAACCCAAACGGAGGAAACGATTTGACGAATGCTACAAAGCATAGTACTTGGTTGTATTTCTCTTCAATTTTTCTTTTTTCCTAAAGATCACATGAAAACTGATCAAAAGGAAATGTTTTGAGAGGTTAAAATTAAAATAGTAATTATAATTTTGTTTCATTTTGAGAGTTTGGGAAGGCAAATCATGTGCTTTAATTAAAGCAGCTACTTTACTTAAGTACTCTTGACAAGTACCATGAAGATACATTCATTCCCACTTTTATAAACAACAGAATTTGCACCTGCCAAGCTTCAGAAAGAACATAGTTCCACAGAAAACTTAAGTCTACTTTAATGTTTTTAGCATTTCATTAATTCACTTGGGATGATGTGGTGAGGGGAGTAACTACGGCCATCCCTTTTAATGTGCACACTGAACTGAAAATGAACATTGGATCTGAGGGTGAAATGGTTTCTCATGCATTCAGAAGCATTCACCAGCGTAACCCTCAAGAATCTCAGATCTTCATTCCTAAAATGAATACATGAATAATCTACTTAGAATAAAAGTTACTTTACATTTCTTTTACTGAAAATCTCATTTAATAAGTTGGTCTTAAATTTAAATGTTTATGTTCACCCTACCAAACATGGAAATCTTCTGTACAAGAAAAGAGAGAGCCAGGCAAAATAAAATGATTGCTAGTATTAAAAGGCCTGCTACTTAGCATGTATTTTAATCGGATGATTTAACTTATTTTATTGATGAAGCTTAAAAATGACAGTTTTTAAATGCAGTATGTGAAGATTTTATTTTTAAGCATGTACAAGAGGACTCTAAATATTTAAAAGCAAAATCTTCATATATCTCTTCCTTCGCTTAAAATTACTGAGTTTTTGAGAGCTTAACGTTTACAGTTAGGGCATGTGAGGAAGAGGGGTGACGAGTAAGGAGAGAGCGAGGGCTCAGAGCCGGTGCTTTCCTAGCCCCTGGCCTCCCCCCGGCCTGCCCCCAGTCCCTTTGTGAAAATGGAGAGGTTGCCCCGCCCCCTCACAGGGCTGTGGTCGGAGTGAGGAATCGGTACGTGTCCATAGTGCTGTGTGAATTGCAGAGGTTTATAGAAAAGGTGATTGTCATTAGGAAGAAGACATTCACTTTTTATACAGTATATTTTAAAAACATTTCTTGATGTTATTTTTTTTAAAAAAAAACAGGTTACAGTGACAGACAATGGTAGTCCCCCCAAGTCAACCATTGCAAGAGTAATTGTGAAGATCCTTGACGAAAATGACAACAAGCCTCAGTTCCTGCAGAAGTTCTACAAAATCAAACTCCCAGAGCGGGAAAAACCAGAACGAGAAAGAAACACCAAGCGTGAGCCTTTATATCGTGTTATAGCTACAGACAGAGATGAAGGTCCCAATGCAGAAATCTCCTATAGCATTGAAGAGGGAAATGAACATGGCAAATTTTTTATTGAGCCAAAAACTGGAGTGGTTTTGTCCAAGAAGTTTTCTGGAGCTGGAGAATATGATATTCTTTCAGTGAGTAAGATCTAGTCTTTGAATTTCTTCCATAATTTGACCGTTAATCTAGTCTTACGTCTCTCATAACTTTCTCTCTATTCAGTAAAATGGCCTCAGTGCTGTACCTAACAATGGGAAGTATGGGTTTGCTTTTCCCTTTTTTAGTTGTCATTCTCGTTATCTATGTTGAGTATGGCATAAAAAGGTTGCCCTTTTTATCAGGCATTAAATGGAATATGGAATTAACATGGAATATATACCGCACAGATATTAAATGTTTGAAATTGGTTCAGTTTCAGACCAAACCAATCAATGCTTCAGTTATGGGATGCAACTTTTCATTTGCTGTTTTTATCCCCTCTGCCCATATTTTATAGATTAAGGCAGTTGATAATGGTCGCCCCCAAAAGTCATCAACCACTCGACTCCATATTGAATGGATCTCCAAACCCAAACCGTCCCCGGAGCCAATTTCATTTGAAGAATCATTTTTTACCTTTACTGTAATGGAAAGCGATCCAGTTGCTCACATGATTGGAGTAATAGCTGTTGAGCCTCCAGGCATACCTCTTTGGTTTGACATCATTGGTAAGCTTCATGACGGTTTTCATCATCCTTGTATAGATCACACTGAGGGGAACCCGCCTCTGGTTTTCTGATTTTGGGGCACATCTCAGAATTTAAAATTGGGAGTAAGACCTATAAGTGGAGAATTTGTTTTAAACTGCAGTATTTTGCTTGCAAAATTTTTCACTATATCCAACATATATTAAACTTGTTTAAAATAGGTGCTCTGTATGTACCTTATTAATATAAAAATAAAGTTTTTAAAAGTGTACCAAAGAGATATAAAGAAATCTGAATGTTTGGTTCTAAAAACACAGCTTCTTAATTTTTCCTCTTGATACATAACATATAGCACATAACTATTTTTAGTGATTATGATTTGAATGTTTAAAATAACTATGCCTATGTGATTGTCGCATGTCAGTATTTTATAGGGAATATGATTAAAATTTTTAATTTAGAAGTTATAAAGGATAGTGTCAACTGTGGCTTTTTAAGTTTGATTTACCTCATTTTCAGTAGAAAGCAGGCTTCACTAGATTAAATCACCCTGTGATAAAAATTATATGCCTAAGCCAATTCTTTTCTTTCTGTCATTGAATTTAGCTAGATATTGAATATAATACAACATACTTAAAACAATTTCACATTAGACTTTGGCGTCTTAGTTTTTTAATTCTTATTTCTTCACAGTATTTTAATTACAAGTATATTTAAAATCAAAAGTACGTGTTCGGGTTATCTTTGGTTGGAACCCAATATCCCTTTTCCCTCTTCACCCCGGAGCCCTCCTGCCCCAGTTGCTGTCTCAGCGGGTTGAAGCCGCAGGGACCACAGGGAACAGGGGTTTGGGCTCTACCCCTTGGACTTTGTAGACAGCGGGGCCGTTTTCCCTACTTTGGTCTTTGTATGAAATTGTTTATGTTATAAACACCTACGAAACCATTACAGTTTAGTTTTAAATGAACAAAAAAGATTCTTTTCATAGTTAACTGCAGTCAGAATAGTTTGCTTGCTGTCAGGTAACTCCTATCGCATTTCCAGATGGGCAGACTGCGGCTGCGCAGCATCTAACCTCACGTGTAAACTGACTGCCTTTGGAACCACTTTGATTGATTGCTCTCCTTGTTCTGTGCTTGCCTTCCATGCTTGCTTCTTTTTGGCTGTGCCAGGAGACACATTTGCTAGAGAAGTGTTTTACATCTTTCAGATGACTTGTGACCTGAACTGTACAGCAGAAGGTATCTGCTGAGATCACATAATTTGCCTCAGATTATGAGATCTAAAGAAAAGCATCCATTTTTCAAACTTTTTTCTTTCCAGTGACCATCTTTCATTGCTTTTTCTTTTCATAGTGGGCCCATGGTCGCCTGTTCCAATTGCAAACATTCTGACTTTCCATACATCCCTAGATCCTTATTTTTAGATTTAACTGAAGACTGTTTTGTGTGTGTGCTGTTTTACTTTTTGGTTGGATTTAATAATAGAACTTCATCATGACGTTTAGACTTTATTTTCATTCCATTCCATTTCATTGATATAAGTATCTCAAGTTCAGTGGCTTTGAAGAGAGTTTATCTGGAATATGATGGGGAATGCATTTGGATAATGTTAGTAGCACAGAAACCTTTTTTCATTAAGCTTTGTGTACGACAGCAATGGGAAAAATTTTCAAATAGTGATAATTCTCAACTAGTAAGAGTCCGGACTAACCAATGATAACTACCACAGTTTTTTTCCCCAGAGTTAACATTTGTTTTTAATAGTTATTTCATTAGAGCAATATGCTCAAATCGTCACAAAATATTTTTTTTAGTAAATTTTTGAATGGCCAACTTTTTGGTTACTAAATGATATGAAATGTAGCTACTGAGATATAAGTTAAAGAGGTATTCAGAACCCTTGAAAAAACAAACAAAGTAATTCATTGGTAGTATTAGAAACATTTTTGTTGTTGTTTTCAGAGTTGCTTTCTTGCTTCCTCTCATTTAGTAGCTTCCTTGGCAGTTATGGCTCAGCTTTTTTTTTTTTTCTAGTAAGCCAGCATTGTCTTTCCAGTTGGTCCTTCTTTTCTGGTCTTTCAAAATGAAAGCTCTTTGGAATCACTTTGACCAATATATCAGAAATTTTTCTTTCTTTCTTCCTTTTTTTTTTTAAAACTGCCATTAAAAATTAGAAAGCCACAAAATAAATGACAAATTTTCATCCCGTGACCTGTTTTTACTTTAATGTTTGTCCTAACTTAAACTAGGTGGCAACTATGATAGTCACTTTGATGTGGACAAGGGCACTGGAACCATCATTATTGCCAAACCTCTTGATGCAGAACAAAAATCAAACTACAATCTCACAGTCGAGGCTACAGATGGAACCACCACTATACTGACTCAGGTAGGCAAATTGCTGATGATACAGTGTTCTGATCTAAGTGTCCACAGGCAATATGAACAATTGATTCTGCCCTCTGAGGTTCTCAAATCAGAAGTTACTATTTTGATATAGTTTATGCACATGTATACAGCAAGGATTTTTATTTAGGGAATGAAATATCACTGCAAATCCTGTTTTAGGTTTTGAATGTAATTAACCAGTTTTGAAAACTTTGAAAGAAGACTTAAAAAAAAAAAACACGTTATGCCATCAAAATCTTTTATTTTTACGCTCATTTTGAATTGTACTAGTATAAAGTATATCACTGTCAAGGATGACTTGTCCAAGTCATTTGCATTAAAACTGGTTAAAGTGATTAATTATCTTTTAAAACACTTTTTTGGGTTTTTTCCCCCCTTGACTACCTTAGGCTGTGTAAAATAACTGATAAAACTGTTCTGTTCCTTTAAATATCTTTGTTCCTATCTGATGATTAAGACATGGTCCGATTACTGGCATTTCAAATTGAAATGTCAGAACCCTATAAATTACGTTTAAGTTCTGTTCTTTCTTATCAGTTTCTCTGATTCACAGTGGGGGCTGTTTGAGAACTTCTTAAATACTTGCTGTGTGCCAGGTATTGTTCTAGAAGCTGAGTAGTAGGAAACAAAATCCTGCCCTCTTGGAGTTTACATTACAATTATAAAGCCAAAGCCTCGTGTTTAATGTGCTGTGTGTGAAAAGTAAAAGGAAGAAATTAAATGTTAGAGGATGAAATGCTTCTGAATTCCAATTTCCTATCTTTAGATTATACTATTTTAAATCTTAAGACAGATCATTTACTAAATCATTTAGTTGCATTGAAGAATAAAAATTAGTCTGTGATGTCTTTTCAATTAATAAATGAATAGATAATTTAAAGTCAGTTGTGAAATGACCTTGTTTCTTTGTCCAAATGCTTGTGATTTTTAATGTATTTAAAATTGATAATATGAATCATGCTTTGGGGTCATTTTGAGGTTGTCATGTAAAAGTACCAGCACAGTATTAAAATTTCAGCCTTGTCAGTAACTTCTCATTGTAGAAACTAGACTTTAGAGCATGAAAATGAGAAGAAAAGCATCAAGAATTGTAATAAATTGAACAGGGTAATTCTGAAAGGTTAAAGAGTGTAACTGTATGTAGATCAGTTCAAGTAATTGACTAACCGGAAGTCTAGCAAAGGAAACTTAATAACCAGTAGAAATGACCCTCTGTGCCAAGCCTTCTCATTACTAAAGATGATATATCTACCTGTAGCATTTATCACTTACCACATAACTCACAGTAAGTGTAGTTTTCATTAGTATAGTTAAGAGCTTAGTATGAAATACGGTGACTAAAATTCCCATAAAACCCAGTAAATATATTCTCTCAGGGACACAGAATTTCTTCAATTTCAATGCTTCGGGCATACTTCTGTAACTTATTTTGAGTCATTTTCAGAGGGTCTTGATAATATCCTAGTGAATTGCTGGCAGGGAGAGGTAGAGTATCAGAGAGCGGTCCAGATCCCAAGCTGACCTGTCCAGGTGTGGGTCATTAGGGAACAATGACCAGTAATTAGGTTTTGATTCCCAGTCTGGGGCTGAGAACAGGGAGATAGGAATCTGAGTGGGAGGAGAGCAGCAAATACCAGCTGAAGAGGGACACAGAGATCAGAACCCAGCTGACAAGGCACTGGAACACAGCAGGTAGATTCCTGTTTGTAGGTGAAACTCAGGAACCAACGGAACAGGTTTTGCCGCATCACGGTCGGTAGCAGCAGGTGTCAGATCTGAGGTTTGGAGAGTGTTTTCCGTTAAGCCAGAGAGCATCGTCGCAGAGGGGAGTAGCGGAGGATCGTGATGTAACTGCCAGTGCTCTGTTGAAGCAGCTTTCCTTGCTTTGTTGTCCTGCTGTTTCCGCTGAGGATGTTGCCCAGTATTAAATCACGTCACTTTGCTTTATCTGTTATTTCAAGGTAACTTACCAAATCCAGTTCACATTTTTTCCCTTTCTTTGAAACAGCTTTGCTTTCCTGCTTTCTTTCAGTTTCTCTGGAACATCAGCATTGCATACTCTGGAGCAGGCCACTTTGTTTGAATCGGGGCTCTGCCTCTTACTCCTATGCATGGGCAGGTGGCTATGACCCGCTGTGCTTCCATTTCTCCTCTGGAAAATGGGCACAGCGACTTTGCCCTCATAGGACAAAGTGAGACGACACTCGGGTGCTGGCCCCTCAAGCCCTCAGGCCTGTCCCCAGTGAGCGCTCCCTGCGTGTTCCCTGTTGCACATCAGCACTGGTTAGGGCTCCTGTCCCCCTGCTTGGCACTGAGTCACCTTCCTGTCTCCATTCTCTGATTCTGCGATTTATCCTGCACTGCCTGCCAACCAGCACGGTCTTCCTGACTGGGAGGAGGACGGAAGGTGATTTGCTCCCATCAGACAGTTCAGAGCACACAGGCCACACAGTTCTCAGCCTCTGCTCGGGAGCCAGGCTCTGCTCTCGGACCCCACCTTCTCCCTGTTCCTTTTCTTTGTCACCCCCGGTTCAGGGTCCTCCTCTGAGGTGTCTGAGAGACAGGATGTTCCATTCCACCCTCGCCTTCACATCTCTGATTGAGCTTTTCCTCCTACCCCAGTATACGTTCATCTGCCAACCTAAAACCTGTGCAAGCAGAGCTTGTCTCCTCCTCGAAAGCTTCCTAAATGGCCTGCACCACCTCTGGACTCCTGAAAACTTCCTTGATAACATAGGAAACCTGTATGTACAAGGCATTGCCCAGTGAGGTTGAAAGCTTCAGGGGGCAGGGGTGCTCCATACTTCTTTACACCCTCCTTAAATGCAGCAAGTGCCGAGCATGGACGTGCCCGGGAAATGTGTGTCAGTTGAACTGCTTTATCAAAGAGGGTTGTTCTTACTTCAGCTGTTCATATTTAGGTGAGATCAGTTGATCTTGGAGCAGGATTGAACTGTGTTTGCCCAACACTCCTTCCATGAGAAAATAAATTTTAAATGTGTAGTGGAGGGACTTTCCTGGTGGCACAGTGGTTGGGAGTCCACCTGCCAACGCAGGGGACGTGTGTTCGAGCCCTGGTCTGGGAAGATCCCACATGCTGCGGAGCAACTGAGCCTGTGCACCACAACTGCGAAGCCCACGTGCCACAACTGCTGAAGCCCGCACGCCTAGAGCCCGTGCTCTGCAGCAGGGGAGGCTGCTGCAATGAGAAGCCCACGCACCTCAACGGAGACCCAACGCAGCCAAAAATTTAAAAAAAAAAAAAAATTGTGTAGTGGAAATGAATATGTAGTGATTTAATTTATAGAAATTATCTTTATAGCCTTTGCTTCTGGATCATCATTGACCTTTCAGAGTGAGGCATCTGTAGTTTTAAATGTTTACATAACTTTCACATAAACCCTTTCTGTGGTTTGGTGGATACATTTAGTGTTCATATAGTTTAATGTTACAGATCCACCGCTGAGGTCTCAGTGTTCTAGGAGAACGGTGGTATTATCTTCATGGAAAGGCCTCTAGTCCGTGTTCTTGGCCCCGTGTGGTTAACACCCTGCCCTCCCCCATGCGGTACTAGGACTTTGGCCTCCTGTGCCATTCGGACTAGTGAGGTTTGTTCCATATGAGCTAGTGAAGCTCATGTTTCTTGTTTATAACTGTGACCATCTTTTACAATTGTAGTGATTTCCGTTATGCCTTATCCACATGTGTCTTTTCAATCTGAAAATTAATCTTCTTACTGTCAAGTTAAATTTTTTTTTTAATTTAACTTGGGACTGAGTTTTTAAATATCTCCTTTTTTTTCCTTTAAGGTTTTTATTTAATATTTATTTTATGACCTACTTAAGAGAATTCTCTCTCTTGAGTGTATTTAAATTGCTTTTAAGAAATAAATGTATTTACTATCTGTGTAGTTTTGTGATCACAAAAATATAAGGATTTTAAAGCACATTTCTCATTTTCCTTTTTATTCATAATATTGGTAGGGATTTGGAATCTCAAAGATTAGAACAAGAACTTCAGATACTGTGACCATTAAGCAGCACACTCACCTCAGTAGCTTGGTAGTTACAGGTGCAAATCTGATATAGGAAATCAGTCTTCTGTGAATCCTGGTAAAGTAAATTCTTTATCTTTACATGAGCAATCTAGAAATTTCTGTGGAGACCTAAGAGAAATTAAGCCTGCATTTCAGAAAGAAATGTGTGTTACATTTGTGTGTGTGTTACATTTTTCTCTCAAAAATTAGTCTCAGGAATTTAGAAACGTTTTTATTATGTTACTCATATTTATATAGGTAATATGTCAATGAAAAATTTGAAAGATGTTTTTTATTCTGAATTTTGCTTTTATTTCTCATGTTTGAATTTTATTTTGCTCAAAAATTAGGGTTTTTTTTTTCAGTGTGCATTTGATTTTTTTCCCCTGATTCTTTAAATACTAAAACATCATGATTAGGAATATTATTGTTATGTGAGTAATTTTGTCATCACAGGTATTCATCAAAGTAATAGACACAAATGACCATCGTCCTCAGTTTTCTACATCAAAATATGAAGTTGTTATTCCTGAAGACACAGCACCAGAAACAGAAATTTTGCAAATCAGTGCTGTGGATAAAGATGAAAAAAACAAACTAATCTACACTCTGCAGAGCAGTATCGATCCATTGAGTCTCAAGAAATTTCGCCTTGATCCTGCAACTGGCTCTCTCTATACAGCAGAAAAACTTGATCATGAAGCCATTCAGCAGCATGTTCTCACAGTCATGGTAGGGCTTTCTGCTCATTCTTCTGACACACTGTTTGGTTCCTGCAGGGTTCCATGTGATTGAGAGTGATCTTTAATCAGTTTTAAGGAAAGCTTTAACAGGATCAATAATATGCTGATTCTTTTAGGTACGAGATCAAGATGTCCCTGTAAAGCGCAACTTTGCACGGATTGTTGTTAATGTCAGTGACACCAATGACCACGCCCCCTGGTTCACGAGCTCCTCCTACAAAGGGCGGGTTTATGAATCAGCAGCTGTCGGCTCAGTTGTGTTGCAGGTTACAGCTCTGGACAAGGACAAAGGGAAAAATGCTGAAGTGCTGTACTCTATCGAATCAGGTATTTTTGGAGCACTGCTTTAATAACTGCTTTTTTTTTATAACTGCTCTTTTTTTATAGGTTTATAACTTTGCACTTGTTAGAAAGTATGTTTTTTCTAAAATTAGTTCTAGATGTTGAAACATTTCTGTGTATCAAAACTGCTTAAATTGATAGCTACCATTTTACATGTTAGGAGAAAGAAACAAAGTTAACTTTTAATTCATTGGAAAGCAAAGCTAGAGAGTCCTAACTATGTTTGGGTAATGTTCTTGGAGATTCATAATATTAGCATAATTCAAGGCTCTGAGAAGTCCTGCAGTAAGGAAAACTTTATTTGACCAATTCAGGATTTCCAAAATGGTTTTAACCACACAATCGTTTTCCTCCATAAACTATGAAGTACTCTTAGGGTAAGGCTGGCCTAGTGATTTAACTTTTTTTTTTTTAGTCAGAGCATATCTTCTCTTGGGCAGAGCAGGAAACTGTGACAGAGTGCCAACTCATCCAGTTCTAATTGGGTCACGTCTCATAAAGGGTGTCCATGCCTCTCCTACCCCTTCCAGGCTTTGCTTTTCTGCCACTTTCACCCCCATGCATCTTTCACAGTTGCATTTCGTTCATGGAATTGGGTTGGTACAGTAGGTCCCAGGGTTGGGACGAGGGCTTGAAGAAATGTTGAAAAGGCTAAGGGGCTTGCTGGAGTTGGGCAGGAGACAGCAAAGCAGGGAGACCAGCTGGAACTGTGGGCCTGGACAGCTCTGGGTGTGATAGGGCAAGAGGTCCAGAGCCTTGCTGGTAATTCCAAGAAGGAGGATCACCAGGAAACGGTGGTGACAAAGTGAAATGTTGTTCTGTTTTCTGTTTGATGCTGCTATTCACTCATTCATTTCTTTATTCCGTGGACTCTCATTTTATATGCCCGGTGCCCTGCTAGGAGCATTTGTACTTGTGCTTGATAGGTAGGGGTTACCATCGGTCCACAAATGTATGTGCTTGCAAAAGAATTCTGCCCCTGATTGAAACAGGGATCTGCTTTAGGGCATGTGATTTATTCAGTCAGAAATCATCTAGCTTTGGGACTTGCCCGACTCGTGCCAAATACTATGAGTAAGTGATTAAATATCAAGAAGGCAGCTTCCAGTTTTCCATCTTTCTCAGTGCCATTGTCAGTACAAAGGTTAGACTCTCATTCTTTCTCTATAGTGATTTTAGAATATTGAGATCATCCACTTAACTTTTTTTCTGTAAGTCCATACCTCTGCATATTTAGAAATTATGTATCTTTTCTGGGCATTAGAATTGATAGAGGTACAATTAACTGAAGATCATATAATCCAAAGCTGAGCAAATGGAGAGTACTTCTTTGCTTTATCAATGTGTTTTATGTGGTTAAACTATTTTCATCTTAATATATTTGAAGTTTCATTTATTTCCCTGAAAATGACCAAGCTTAAGCCATCCCTCACAAATAAGACCTCATATACTGCCCAAGGTTGCAGTGTTAAAATGTGTGATAGTGTAGTTAGTGCCCTGAATAAAACTGATTTTTCCATTGGTTCAGAAATTTAACCATTAAAAACGTGCATTCCATTTGTACGTGCCTGAGCACTTAAATAAAATAGTTTTCCCCCCTGAGACAAACTTACTGGATTTGTGTAGGAGAAAATGTTAAACTTTCCCTTAGCTTTCACATAGTTTTCAGCAATTGGGCGTTTAAAATATGATTGTTGGTGCCTGACTGAAGGCATGCACATTCTTTAAATGCTTGTAATGACTGATGGGATTAGTAATACGGTATTCCAAGAATGGAACTGTGTCTCCACTCAAAGAATAGATAATACCAAGGGCCTATTCTGATATAAACTCTGGGCTTCAAAGAAGATAATTGGATAGATTTGGTAATGTAAAAATCATGCTATACAGGTTACTTTACAGGAAACAACTACCATTAAAATGCAGTAGAATTGTATGTGTGTAAATCTGTTGAATAGTAGGAACTAGAAAATGGTCACACAGCCTTCATTCAACAGTGTATTCATAGTCACCTGCTTCTGACTTGTGTCAGATTGCATTTAATAAAGTTCAAAAGAGTAGTTACAAATTCAGGCTGTAACACTGCATGATTAATTAGCAATTTATGGAGCAAAAGGTTTGGTCTGATGAGGAGTCTTTAGGGAAAAAAGGAAGTAATTAAAGAATATTTTCAGTAATAATTGAGTTAGGTGTTAAGAGACACATCGGTGCCATACTCTGGGTTGTAGTGTTTTATTTATTTTTTTAAAGTAGATGATTGTTAATTCAAAACTGTTATCTCTGGAAATAGAAGACACTCCGTAAATATACTTATTGATTAGAATTGGTTTTCTTCCCCAAACTTACGTAAAATGTAATTACAGTTGAAGCTTTACAGAGGTTGCCATTCTGTGGGGCAGTCAGCATCCACGGCATGTCCATCGTGGGAAGAGACAGGTCCTGCGCACAGCTTTCTGATGTGCCCTTTGGGGTGTACATGTGTAATACAGTCATAGCTGACGAGCACACATTTGCATGTTTGTCCAGATAACTGCCTTGTTCATATGGAAAGAACAATTTAAAACTATTTAGAAATAACCAGTATCTCTCCTACAGTGAATGACTAAGGCCCCAACCTAGTACAGACTTCTGCCACTGCCCTATTAGTTTGTTCACAAATGCCATATGTATATTTCAATATTTGGTGAATGTGGCTATTACTAGATCAGACAAGGACACATTCAAGCCACTCAGCAGCCCTCAGTGTTGCCACAGAAATATGGTGTTGCTTTCCATCTGCAAATCTGATGGTTTCTGCTGTAGTATATGTATTGATACAGGTAGGATCCATATACTGATTAACTAGCTGTGTTCCTGTGTAACCTTCTTGTTATCATTGACAAGCTCCGAGCTGTCTTTATCAAAGTCGAGATACTGCAAGTAATAAAGAATGTTTTGAATGTCACATTGCTAATAAAAATTTTTTATCAGAGATTTCCAAATAGTCATGACACGTTCCTTTTGCTAATACTTTTAAATGAAGTGCCGCATCTAACAAGTGGTTGTTGGTAGTGATTGAAGTATAGCATAAATGCAGGGAAACAAAACCAAGTAGAAATATAAATATGGTACTTTAATGAATGTATTAATTTTTTTCAAGCTGCTGATCAACCTGTTTGGTATTTAATTTGTTTTCTTTCCATACATGTGTAAAAGTTGTTTCATTCAACAAACATTTGCTGAGTGTCTCCTATGTGTCAGGCATTTTTCTAGGCAGAGATGATAAAATAATGAATCAAACAAGCCATGCTTAAGTGGAGCTTACATCCTAGTGGGAGAACAGATAAGAACAAGTGACAATATGTGCTGTAAAGAAAAAACAGGGTAATGGGACAGAAACAGCCATGCTGAATGGGGAGGTCAAGGAAGGCCTCACCACCACATTCTCTAAGAAGGAGGCATTTGGGCAAAACCTGAATGAATGAACGCCTGCATGGAGAGGCAGTGAGAATAGCTGGCGGAAGACTGTTCCAGGCAGGGACCCACCAAGCCCAGTGGTTCCGAGATGAGGATGTGCTCACGTGATTGAGGAGCCTTCTCATTGCAGATAAAATCCATTTATTCCTCCATGCGAGGCCTTGTGTATTTGAAGCTTTAAGATTTTCACTGTACAAAGTAAAAGAGAAATGCATCTAGATGACTGAATATAAAATATGGTAGGTCAGCTGCTTTATTAGTACAGACATAGGGTAGTAAAGAGTGGGGATGAAGACAGTTGTCCAGAGGTTTTCACAGCCCCCCAAGCAGTCAACCAGTCACAGCTTTGGAAGTGGGGATGATGCAAAGGTAGCTGAGAAAGGACCTTGGAATCCCAATAACCAACTAAAACACAGTGGGGGAGAACTGGAGCCACTGGCGCTCATAGGTACAGACAGGCCGGAAATTAGTGTCTGCGAGGCCTGGCAGAGGCAGCATGACCCCGTTTGTGGGCCAGGGTTCGTCTCAGAGCTTCGTGGCCTGGAGACATTCTGGACCTCTGTCCTGTTGCAGGTTGAGGCATGGCCTTGGGGCCTGGATGCAGAGCCAGGCAGACTTAATGAAAACCAGACTGGGTCTGGCCTCAGAAAGAACTATCATGGATTTTTGGAAAATGTATTAAAGGAAGGAAATGAAAGCTGTAGAGGAAGTGTTTACTAGTAATGATGTGGAGGAAGGAGTGCTTGGTTGAGCCCCTGGTTTGCAAGTCACAGCAAGTAATTCTGGTCTATGAAGCGCCGTCCATGCTTGATTGCAGACCTCGAGGAACACAGAATTTGAGAAGGCGGTTAAGTGGCAAGTGGACTTTGTTTTGGGTAAAGTGTAATAGTTCAATTTTTCCAAGATTTAAAGAAAAGTATATTTTATAAAAGGGATTCTTTTTAATCACTGAATACATCATTTTTATTACTAAGAAACAAGTTATACGTCTTTCCACTATAAATTCACTCTGATGAAAAAGAATTTTTAACTCCTAACAAATGCTACATTTTCAAGATTAAAGGAATTATCAGTAGGCATTCTTTCTTCTTGTTCGAAGTTGTTTTCCCCTCAAATATGTCAAGTAAGCTTTTAAAGACTCAGGCATGGGAGCTTCATGATCTTCTGCCTCAGCAAGTTCTGCGGCAGCTCCTCAGACTAGATCAGTTCTATGACTAGAATAAATGATTCTGGACTCTTTGCTTATAAAACAGAAAAGGGATGAAGGGTTCGTGGTTGGATCGAATCTGAGGACCCTCACACTGCCTTGATCTACCCAGAAAGAGAGTAAACTGCAGAACTGTAGTAAACTCCTGGTTTCAGGAAGAGCTCAAGTGGCACAAAACTATGGAATATTGTGGAGTTGCATTTGCAGCTAAATACATGTACATAACGTAGCTGGAAAATGTCTAAAGAAAAGCAAGTAAAACAATCTTTAGAGTTTTCAGCCTCAGCAATATTGACATTTTGCACCAGAAAGTTCTTTGCTGTGGGGCTGTCCTGTGCGTTGTAGTATGTTTAGCAGCATCCCTGGCCTCTACTCACTAGAGGTTAGGAGCACCCTCTCCCCACAAGTAGTGGTCACCAAAAAGGGGTCCAGACACGGTTGAATGTCCCTCTGGGTGAAAGCACCTCCAGTTGAGAACCACTCACCTAGAAATTAAATTGACCTGAAAAAATTCAGGGGATATTACTGAAATCTTGAAAAAAAAACCATAAAGTGGGGCAGAGTACACACAGGCTTACTCATCAAGTCCCCGAATGCATAAAATAAGGGCCAACTCTATTTAAGTTTGTTAAATTTAATTGAAGTCTTCCCTTTTCACAGTGGGTAAGATTCTTGAGAGTTTGCAAGTGATAAATAAATATATTCCAAAGGGGTTTTGAGGGACTCTTGGAGATGATTAACTAAACTCTTTTATGGAAGGATAACCAGATCCTTCCACAACACATTCCTGATTCAACCAGAGAGAGTGACTTTTGGCTTTAGGTACAGAGTGATATTACTTCTGTTTCTTTTCATAATCTATAGACAAAACAGAAAAGTTTGCCCTTAGAGTAGATAAAAATGAAACAAATCGAAAAAATGAGACAAATTGAATAAAACAAGTTCCATTCGAATATTGATAGGTCCTTGTATTTTTCTCTAACATTCTTTTTTCTCTCCTCCCAGGAAACATTGGAAATTCTTTTACAATTGATCCCATCTTGGGCTCTATAAAAACTGCCAAAGAATTAGATCGAAGTAACCAAGTGGAATATGACTTAATGGTAAAAGCTATAGATAAAGGCAACCCACCAATGAGTGAAATCACTTCTGTGTGTATCTTTGTCACCATCGCTGACAACGCCTCTCCCAAGTTTACATCAAAAGAGTATTCTGTTGAAATTAGTGAAACTGTCAGCATTGGGAGTTTCGTCGGAATGGTTACAGCTCATAGTCAGTCATCAGTGGTATATGAAATAAAAGATGGAAATACAGCTGATGCCTTTGATATTAATCCACATTCTGGAAGTATCATCACTCAGAAAGCTTTGGATTTTGAAACTTTGCCCATTTATACATTGACAATACAAGGAACTAACATGGCTGGTTTGTCTACGAATACAACCGTTCTAGTGCATCTGCAGGATGAAAATGACAACTTGCCAGTTTTTACGCAGGCAGAATATACGGGGCTCATTAGCGAATCAGCTTCAATTCACAGTGTGGTCCTAACAGACAGGAATGTCCCATTAGTTATTCGAGCCACTGATGCTGATAAAGAATCAAATGCTTTGCTTGTTTATCACATTGTTGAACCAGCTATACACAAATATTTTACTGTTGATTCCAGCACTGGTGCTATTCATACAGTACTAAGTTTGGACTATGAACAAACAAGTACTTTTCACTTCACTGTACAAGTTCATGACATGGGAACACCGTGTTTATTTGCTGAATATGCAGCCAACGTGACTATCCATGTTATTGACATTAATGACTGCCCTCCTGTGTTCTCCACATCATTGTATGAAGCATCTCTTTTGTTGCCAACATACAAAGGAGTCAAGGTCATTACAGTAAATGCTACAGATGCTGATTCAAGCGCATTGTCACAGTTAATGTACTCCATCACCGAAGGCAACATCGGGGAGAAGTTCTTAATGGACCACAAGACTGGTACTATAACTGTACAAAACACAACTCAGTTGAGGAGCCGCTATGAGTTAACTGTCAGGGCCTCTGATGGCAGATTTGCAAGCTTAACCTCTGTGAAAATTAACGTGAAAGAAAGCAAAGAAAGTCAGCTGAAGTTTACCCAAGATTTCTACTCTGCGGTAGTGAAAGAGAATTCTACTGAAGCCAGAAGGTTAGCTGTCATAACTGCTATCGGGAATCCAATCAATGAACCCCTGTTTTATCACATCCTCAACCCAGATTGCAGATTCAAAATCAGCCGCACGTCAGGAGTTCTGTCGACCGCTGGCATACCGTTTGATCGTGAACAGCAGGAGACCTTTGATGTGGTAGTGGAAGTGACACAAGAACGCAGGCCTTCAGCGGTGGCCCGTGTCATTGTAAAGGTCATCGTCGAAGACCAGAATGATAATGCACCGGTGTTTGTCAACCTGCCTTACTACGCCGTCGTTAAAGTGGATACCGCCGTGGGCCATGTTATTCGCTACGTGACAGCCATCGACAGAGACGGCGGCAGGAACGGGGAAGTGCACTACTACCTCAAGGAACACCACGAACACTTCCAAATTGGAGCCTCAGGGGAAATTTTACTGAAAAAACAGTTTGAACCTGACACCTTAAATAAAGAATATCTTGTCACAGTGGTTGCAAAAGATGGAGGAAACCCAGCTTTTTCGGCTGAAGTCATGGTTCCCATCACCGTTATGAACAAAGCCATGCCTGTGTTTGAAAAGCCTTTCTACAGTGCCGAGATTCCAGAGAACGTCCAGATGCACAGCCCCGTTGTCCACGTACAAGCCAACAGTCCAGAGGGCTTGAAAGTGTTCTATAGCATCACAGATGGTGATCCTTTCAGCCAGTTTACTATTAACTTCAACACCGGAGTTATCAATGTCATAGCGCCTCTGGACTTTGAGTCCCACCCAGCATATAAACTGAGCATCCGAGCGACTGACTCCTTGACCGGTGCTCACGCTGAGGTCTTTGTGGACGTAATCGTGGAAGACGTCAATGACAACCCTCCCGTGTTTGCCCAGCAGTCCTATGCCACCACCCTGTCCGAGGCATCTGTAATTGGCACATCCGTGGTTCAAGTCAGAGCAACAGATTCTGACTCAGAACCAAACAGAGGGATTTCATACCATATGTTTGGGAATCATAGCAAGAGTCATGATCATTTTCACATAGACAGCAGCACTGGCCTCGTTTCCCTGGTTAGGACTTTGGATTTTGAGCAGTTCCAGCAGCACAAGATTTTTGTAAGGGCTGTTGATGGCGGCATGCCTCCTCTGAGCAGCGATGTGGTTGTCACAGTGGATGTCACCGACCTCAACGATCACCCACCACTATTTGACCAACAGATTTATGAAGCCAGAATTAGCGAGCACGCTGCCCATGGGCATTTTGTGACCTGTGTAAAAGCCTATGATGCGGACAGTTCAGACATAGACAAGTTGGAATATTCCATTCTGTCTGGCAACGATCATAAGAATTTTGTCATTGACAGCAGGACAGGGATCATCACGCTCTCAAACCTGCGCCGGCACGCCCTGAAGCCATCGTACACCCTTCAGGTTTCTGTGTCTGACGGAGTTTTTAGGAGTTCAGCTCAGGTTCATGTGAGTGTGATTGGAGGCAATTTGCACAGTCCCATTTTTCTTCAGAACGAATATGAAGTGGAGCTTGCTGAAAATGCTCCCTTGCACACGCTGGTGACCGAGGTTAAAGCAACTGATGGGGATTCGGGTATTTACGGTCACGTTACCTACCATATTGTAAATGACTTTGCCAAAGACAGGTTTTACACAAATGAGAGAGGACAGATCTTTACTTTGGAAAAACTTGATCGAGAAACCCCAGTTGAAAAAGTAATCCCAGTTCGTTTCATGGCCAAGGACACTGGTGGAAAAGTTGCTTTCTGCACCATTAATGTCATCCTTACAGATGACAACGATAATGCACCACAGTTTCGAGCAACCAAGTTTGAGGTGAATATTGGATCCAATGCTCCCAAAGGGACGTCGGTCATCAAAGTCCTTGCCAGTGATGCGGATGAGGGATCCAATGCCGACATCACCTATGCCATCGAAGCAGATTCTGAAGGCGTTAAAGAGAATTTGGAAATTAACAGACTGTCTGGCATAATAACTACAAAAGAAAGCTTAATTGGCTTAGAAAACGAGGTCTTCACTTTCTTTGTCAGAGCTGTGGATAATGGGTCTCCACCCAAAGAATCTGTTGTTCCCGTCTATGTTAAAGTACTTCCACCAGAAATGCGGCTTCCAAGATTTTCAGAACCATTTTACACCTATACAGTTTCGGAAGACGTTCCTATTGGAACAGAAATAGATCTCATTCGAGCAGAGCATAGCGAGACTGTCCTTTACAGCCTAGTCAAAGGGAATACTCCAGAGAGCAACAGAGATGAGTTCTTTGTGATCGACAGACAGAGTGGGAGACTGAAACTGGAGAAGGGTCTGGACCATGAGACAACTAAGTGGTACCAGTTTTCCGTACTTGCCAGGTGCACTCACGATGACTATGAGGTGGTGGCTTCTGTAGATGTTAGTATCCAAGTGAAAGATGCAAATGATAACAGCCCTGTCTTGGAGTCTAGTCCATATGAGGCATTTACTGTTGAAAACCTGCCAGGGGGAAGCAGAGTCATCCAGATCAGGGCGTCTGATCTAGATTCAGGAACCAATGGCCAAGTTATGTATAGTCTAGATCAGTCACAAAGTGTAGAAGTCATCGAATCTTTCACCATTAACATGGAAACAGGATGGATTACAACCCTAAAGGAACTTGACCACGAAGAGAGAGACAGTTACCAGATTAAGGTGGTTGCATCAGATCATGGTGAAAAGGTTCAGCTCTCCTCCACAGCCATTGTGGATGTTACTGTCACCGATGTCAACGATAGTCCCCCACGGTTCACAGCAGAGATTTATAAAGGGACTGTGAGTGAAGATGATCCACCAGGGGGCGTAATTGCCATCCTGAGTACCACGGATGCTGATTCTGAAGAGATCAACAGACAAGTTACATATTACATAACAGGTAACGAGTTTAAAGTGAATGGTTTAATTTAAAATTAAGTTGTATTAGAAGTATAAATTCTGAGATATGTATTTTATGGAAATTGAGAGTTGAAGGGACAATTTTAGTATATCTAAAATAAGTAGAAATAACATCTATTAAGCTATGTTTCAAGTTCTTTGCCTGAGCAAAGCCAGTAGTTGTTTCATTAGGCTGATTTTGATGATTCATTCTGTTGATCTTTATACACAGTGTATAAAAAAGATATTATAATTTAAAAAATCTATAGTTTCAGTGTAGGCTAAAATGTTTACTGATAGTCTTGAAATTTTATTTGGCTTAATGCTGTGTTTAAATACACATTTTAGTGCTGCTTTCTTTGTTTTTTGGGTTTTTTGAGGGTTTGGGGTGGGAGGGGTTAGTGAATGGGAAAGCTAATAAAATAAATTTAAGTGTAATTACTTTCTTTAAAACTTAATTCTTTTGAATCATAATATTATATATCTTTTGTACAATTTATTTCTCCTGTTATTCCTTTTTTTATTTCAACAAATTTGACTGTCATCTCCTTCCATTGATTTAATAGGAGGGGATCCTTTGGGGCAGTTTGCTATTGAAAATATACAGAATGAATGGAAGGTCTATGTGAAGAAACCTCTAGATAGGGAAAAAAGGGACAATTATCTTCTGACTATCACAGCAACTGATGGGACCTTCTCATCAAAAGCTATAGTTGAAGTCAAAGTCCTTGATGCAAATGACAACAGTCCCATTTGTGAAAAGGTAGGATACTCCTTAAGTCTATATATTATGAATTCAGATTTCTTTCTTAAACCTTTCAGAAGGACTGTCAGGTGGTGCTGTAGAGTAATTCAAATGTGTTTCATGTTGTAATCTCAATGTTTAAGTCGAGGTGAGGGTTAAATGGGGCAAGAGTTGGATTAGCTTCAGAACTACTTTTGGGGGATGCTAAATAGCTTAAAAACCTAGTTCAAAATACTGTGAATTGCTGACAGGATTACAGTTGTATATAAGCATTGCTCTGTTACGTTTTCATGAAAAGATTCCCTTCATTTGGGGGTGAGGCAGCTCTGTTCTGCACCAAGAGACCGTATTTTGGGCCCTTGCTCTTGTACACGCTAGAGGAACCCAGAGGTGAAGCGTGTGGCTTCTGCCCCTGTGGAGCCCACCGTTTAACATGAGGACAAAATGCACACCAAGGAAGAGCTGCGCCACCTGAGGTTGCTCAGTGAGGGCGGGAGTTGTCCCCGGAACTGGAGGATGAGGAAAAGCTCAGCCTTTGGGAGGTGGTGATGAGATCACCAAGAGTGGAAACAGAAGGGTATTGGGGCCGGAGGGTAAACTGGGTGAGAGGGGCTATGGAGGGCATTCCAGGGAGCTGGGACTCCACGAATCCTTCCTTACGTGAAAGGTGGAGATGGCGTACTCCAGGAGTTCCTGAGAGAAGCTGAGTCTGGTAGCATTGTTTCCATTTAGCTGAGGAAGTGTGAAAGTGGGGATAACAGGCAGTGGACTGAGGCACAGGGAACAGAAGGATGAAAGATGCTGTAACGGGAAACCCAGTGGTACTTGGTCCTGCCTGGCCGTGACATCGTGACAAGCATGTTAGTTAAGTCAAGGTTGACTTTAGGTTTCCTACAGGAGTGTTTGGGAGAAAGACCACAGATGAGCCTGGAGCGGGAATTGGTTTTAGAGGAAGCATGCTGAATTCCACTTCAGATTTGTTCAGTTTAAGATCATGGGACGTTCAGTTGAATGTGTTTTTATAGTCGTTTAGAGTTAGCGAGATGGAGGATGGGTGTGTGAACTTGGCAGCTTGGGTGGATAACTGCTAACTGCATTCGCTTGAGAGGATAATAGCAAGGAGGGAAAGAGTAGAGAAAGGTATCCCCCTAGAGAGAAAGAAGGCGGAAGGAAGAGAGCGCAGATACCAGCACAGTGTAGTTGAGAGCAAAGGAGGGGAGAACTTATAGGAGGCGGGATGGCCAGCAGAGGTGTGACACAGATAAAAAGTGGACTGAGTGAAACAGACCATTGGGTTCAGTGACTGGCTTGGAGATGGTGGTCCCAGTGCGGTGATGTGGGTGGACGCCTGGTTTCAGGAGATTAAAGGGTGTGTGTTAACAAGGAGATAGATCTGGCCAGTGACGAAAGTTGGGAGTAAAAAGTAGGAAGAAGAGTGTGGTAGGTAAAGGGAAGGCTGGGTCAGGGAGCAGGTGACTTGGAAGGGGGCGGGGAGGTGGAGAGCGCTGCAGTGGGCATGAGCTGTGTGTAGCTGGACGGGCAGAGGGGCAGAGCTCTCCGGGAAATGGATACGAATAATTCAGCTGGGGGGAGAGCGGGACTTCTGAGGGGTGAGGAGTTCATTCCAATCCATGGTTTTGGTGACAGTGGTTTATGGAAGGAGGATTCTGTGTGTGCGTGCGTGTGTATGTATCTTATAGAAACTAAATGTGTGTGTTTTGCTGTTTTTCAACACTTTTCCTTTCACCTTTGGTATTAATTAGGACACTAGATCATTCGGAATCATCAGTATTACAAAATATCCTGTTTCATGAGTCATAGTTCACCTAAAATTGAGCTCATATTAAGAAAATAAATTTAACAACGTCTTATCTGTTTGTCTTATGTTTTGGTTTATGACATGGATTTCTAAATATTTGGAACTGGAAAACAACCGTTCACTGTGTTTGAGAATCAGGTCAGATTTGAAGAGAGACGGGGTGGAGCAGGGCAGAAGAGAGCCCTGGCCTGAGCATCACTTGCCCCCCTCCCCGGTGGCCTTGGATAACCTTTGTTTTCTCCCGTGTCATGAGGCTCACTTCTCTCCCAAATGCAGTTACTTGGTGGTGTTTTAACAGTGATTGCAAACAATAAATTCCTGTGTTGGAAATTAGACGTAATGTATCAGGCTTGTATTCTCTCTAATTTTTAGGTAAAAATGGAGTGTTATGTGTATTTTCTCATAAGAATTTAAATTAAATTAAATATGAAACCAAATCAAAGACAAAGTATTCAGAATTCTGTAGGTTAAATGTCAGGTCAGACTCTTTCAGCGTATGGGGTTGTTAACTGTTATATGAATCCTCTCTGTTTTAAATGTTTTGTAAGAAAAATAGTTTTGAAAGCCCCTTGGATTTTAGTTTTAGTCATTTCCCATGTGTTCTGTGACCAAAGTTAAATGATTTCTGTTACTCCCTCGGCAGTCATGTTACCTTTTAATGTTTTATGTTAACAGTATTGTTTAAAATCTTTGTAGACTTTATATTCCGACATGATTCCAGAAGATGCCTTTCCTGGGAAATTGATCATGCAGGTCTCTGCTACAGATGCAGATATCCGTTCCAATGCCGAAATTACTTACACATTATTTGGTCCAGGTGCAGAAAAATTCAAACTAAATCCAGACACAGGTAAAGGTAGAGTTTGGGGCAAAACTAATTGTGTTCCAGCAAAGTCACGCATGGGTGGTTTTGGATCACACGGAAAATTTGAAATGACAGTTTGTTCTTGTAAAATTTACTCTCCTGCTACAAAAATGGCATCTTTTAGAAATGCAAACAGCAATTCAATGTGTAAAATTTGGGGTGAGATAAAAAAGAGCAACAATCACCTACTTGAACCGAGGATTTAAAATTTATGTTTTTTTATATCACCTTTTTAAAAAAAAACTCAGAAGTTAAAGTATATCTCAAACTTTCTGCTTTATCCATTTTACATATAGTTTGTTTTCTTGAATTTGTGACCATAAATTTATAATTTAGTGTATTCATTAAAATGATGAGTGGTATTTTACTTTAAACCTCTAGGACTTTCTCTTTCAATTTGTATTTTGTTAAAATTGGGGGTCAAGTAACAGTTTTCTATTAAGCTCCCCCCAAATTAATTATAAACATGTGAATCTAATTTTTGAGTCAATTTAAAAATATTTTCAATTTGGTAAATTGGCAGCTATTTTGCATTTGGGCATTGTATATAATGCGAGAGGTCCTGACCTGGAGATCTTTAAGGCTTAGAGCTAGCACCTGGCAGGGTTTGAAACCCTCCAGCTCTGAGGGCTCTCACAGCTGCTGACTCTGTCACTAATAAAATTGTTCTCCAAAGGAAGGCTGTTATTCAGATTTTCTAAATGTAAGAGAAAAGGGGAAGAAAGATGTGCTCTTGCAGTCACATCTTAAATTTCAAGTGAGCCCATTTATTTTTGTTTTTAGGTGAACTGAAAACATTAGCCCCCCTTGACCGCGAGGACCAGGCAACCTATAATCTTCTGGTCAAGGCCACGGATGGAGGGGGAAGATTCTGTCAAGCTGATATTGTGCTCACGTTAGAGGATGTGAATGATAATGCCCCCGAATTCTCTGCTGATCCTTACACCATCACCGTGTTTGAAAACACAGAGCCTGGCACGCTCCTGACAAGGGTACAGGCCACGGATGTGGATGCAGGTATCGCCCAAGTGATGCTTTTGCCTTCAAACTATGCACTGTTACCTGAGGAGGAGCCTATTTTAGAGCACTGTTCCACATTCAGCCCCTCTGATGACCCCTACCTCATGCATGTTGAATAACTCACCATTGTCATGCTACCGTTAAAAATCGTGTTAGAATTAAAAATGGAATGAAATCTTCAGAATAATAAACTCTTTTTTTTTTTTTTTTTTTTTTTTTTTTGTTTTTGGGGGTTGTCTTCTTTTGTGGCCTCTCCCATTGCGGAGCACAGGCCCAGCAGCCATGGCTCACGGGCCCAGCCACTCCGCGGCATGTGGGATCCTCCCGGACCGGGGCACAAACCCATGTCCCCTGCATTGGCAGGCGGACTCTCAACCACTGCGCCACCAGGGAAGCCCAATGAACTCATTTTTAATGAATATTTGAAGTCTCAAAATTGTGCCCAGTGAACTTACTGTTGTAAAGTATCTGTGGTACCCCTAAAATTCTGCTTAGTGATGAGATAAACTGATCTTTATGTCCCATTGAATTAATTAGTGAAGTGTTATTTTTTGTGAATAAAGCATTAGTGACAAAGAGATTTAGTATCATAGGAACATAACAGAAGAAAACGATATATTGTTATAGTTTTACAGACCTTTCCAATTTTTTATAGAGAAAATAAGACTCTAAGGTATATATTCATAGCATTTTGATAGCAGAGAATAAAAATAACTTCTTCAGTCATTCTAACGCTGAAGAATCAGAAGAATACCAAAAATGTTGCTTTTCAAATAAATTTTTGTTACTGAAGCTAAATAACAAATAGGCTTTATTTTTAAAGATCTGCTGGCTGTTAGAGCATAAGTTCCTGCATAACATAGTCTGAAAAAGCCAGATGACTATGAAATTATATTTGTTTTAACTCAACAAATTGCTCATTTTAAAGTTTACATTTTTAAGGTCATAGTCATAAGAATTTTAAAATAATGTATATTGGTATTTTCCCTTTTTCATATGTATGCTGGATTTAAAAAAAAATAATTTGTTTACGTTTCTTGAAATAAAACATTCTGACGTGATGTCATGTCTTGACAGGACTGAATCGGAAGGTATCCTACTCACTGATTAACTCTGCTGATGGACAGTTCTCCATTAATGAATTATCTGGAATCATTCAGTTAGAAAAGCCTTTGGATAGAGAACTACAGGCAGTATACACTCTAACTTTGAAAGCTGTAGATCATGGTTTGCCAAGAAGGTTGACAGCTACCGGCACTGTTGTTGTATCCGTTTTGGATATAAATGACAACCCACCCGTGTTTGAATACCGTGAATATGGTGCCACAGTGTCTGAGGATGTTCTCATTGGAACAGAAGTTCTTCAAGTGTATGCAGCAAGTAGGGACATTGAAGCAAATGCAGAAATCACCTACTCGATAATAAGTGGAAACGAACATGGGAAATTCAGCATAGATTCTAAAACAGGTAACCTACCATGCAAACGAGAGGAAGCCCTTTATTCTGCAGAAAACGGCTAGATTGCTCATCACTTCACCTGGTACAAAAACAGGTCATACATTGTCAATAGATACTCTAAAAGAGAAGACCCAAGTTTTCTTTGTGTTGTTGTCATAAGTGGGATTCAGAGTGGTTTAGAAGACTTTAAACTATAGTTCTACATAATAAAGTACATTTCTGCCTTATCCATTATAACTATAAGCAAATTAACTTTAAATAGAAAATTAAAGCATCACACTCTAGTAATTTAGTAAAGATATAAGGTGTCATAAATCAGTAAAGGTAAAGAATTGAAGATGGTAGAAGATTTTGCAGAATGGCTTCTTTTTATGGCCCACGTGGATCTCATGTGAAGTAGCTTCCCAGGTGAAACAGCAGTTTCGACCTCTTTGATCTTAGTTTCAGTAGGGGACATCTGATAATTCATTAAATTGATCTCTTCATTATGCTAGTTATAGACAACCGTCAAAGTACTTGGACCGAGTCACTTACTGAATGACCGCCAACAAGGTCAGAAGTCATTGGCGCTATTGACTCTGGCTGCATAAATACTTTTTGTAGTCTTGTTAATCTGTCATCTAAAATAGCTGTAAGTAAATTGCTCTGTAAAAAATTGCCCCATTCCAACTGTATTTAATTGTATGTGGCTTTCAGCTGAAGGGTAGGGTGTGTGATGATGCTGTTTAAAAATGTATTTTTAGCACATATCATAAAATTGTTATTTTTATGGCTCTTTATGTAGGGTAGACTATAAGGAAGTTAAAAGGAAAGACGTTAAAGGAATTATTAAATCAAAAAGGGATTTTTAAAAAATGACGGGATATAAATAGTTATTCTGGAGATTTTTTAAAAGGATGTACATTTCTGTAAAAGAAAAAGTATGAGAAGGAAAAGGAAACGAAAAGCCAAAGAACAGAATTTTTGTGTTTTCTATTTCATTAAAGTCTGTAGTAAACTATCATTAAAAAGAGATAAGAAATGTTATCATTTTTATAGCAGGGAGACATAAGGAGTACTGACTAGGAAAGCAATTCACATATCACAAAGAGTATCAGGAAAGTAATTAAGAGAAATAAATAAGGTTCCAAGGATGGGCAAATTCATGTTTTAATTGTTGAATTAAAAAATTAGAAACCATACATAAATGGTAAGTAAACTATTGAACTGAAAATTTTAGTCATAGGAGGAGAATGTGGTGGCATTTTAAAGCACTGGAAAGTAATTTTGATTTTCTGTTCAGGGGCCATATTTATCATTGAGAATCTGGACTATGAAAGCTCTCATGAGTATTACCTGACGGTAGAAGCCACTGATGGGGGCACACCTTCACTGAGTGATGTTGCAACTGTGAACATCAATGTAACAGACATCAATGACAATACCCCAGTGTTCAGCCAAGACACCTACACGGCAGTGATCAGTGAAGATGCTGTTCTTGAACAGTCTGTCATTACAGTGCGTACCTTTTCCCCTACAGCCTTCTTCTGGGTCTTTGCAAGAATTTTTAGTGAGATTGATCCAATTTTTGTAGTGGCCTTACTTGAAAATATTGATAATTTGAAGATAGGGAAATGTCTTTTGCTAGCCTCTTTAGTTACTGACTCTATTATAAGTGATTGCCTTAACACAAACTAGCTGTTGATACCAGAAATTTGCTGAGTAGACTTCTGTCCCTCCCTCATCTGTCTCCTAAACCAGAGTGTGGTATTTTCTAGGTTATGGCAGATGATGCCGATGGACCTTCAAACAGCCACATCCACTATTCAATTATAGACGGCAATCAGGGAAGTCCATTTACAATCGACCCTGCCAGGGGAGAAGTGAAAGTGACCAAACTTCTAGACCGGGAAACAGTAAGTGGAAAAATCTGACGTAGATTGTTTACAGATTATCAGATCAGTAGATGGAAGTGCCTTGTATTTGCCTCTGCTGACATTTTTGGAAGTGTTAAAAGGGTAGAACCAGCCTTGTTCTCAGTAAGTGACAAGCAAGATATAAATACTTGAAAAGCAGTTGTAGTATGAAGATCTCCAGAATATGTGATGTGTTTCATAGTAATGTGAAGTTTGGATAATAAGAGTTTGTATTCAGGACCAAGTTACTGTTGGCACCAGTGTTTTGAGACGCTTCATGGAGCTAGAAGCTGGGTTTTAAATAATAGCAGAGATTCAGGAAACCATAGTGTTGAGAGGAGGGAATTCCCTGTGAGGAACCGGGGGAACAAGGATGGAGGAAGGAAGAGACGTGGGGTGTCTTTAGGTGATTCTGTTCAGTTGTGTTGGAGTAGAGTGATCGTACAAACAGGTGAGGGAGGAGAGATAGATGAAGAGTTTTAGGAACAGATGACAGGCCACAGACAAAACCAGGATCGTAGGTTCAGGCTGGCACTGCAGGCATTAGGTGGTTACCGATGCTGTGAGCCCAGGTGTAACAGCACAGGAGGTGGTTGCTGAAGACCAGTCCTACAGCAGGTCTAAGTGTTATCCCAGAGGTGGGAGGGACAGTGACAGTTAATCAGTTATGAAACAACAAGAGCCCAAACTGGGAAAGTAGCAATGACGAGTGAATGACGAGACAAGTGTGGAAACTTTGTAGAGGAAAAATTATGGTCCACAGAGCTCAGCTATGGCCCTCCAGAGAAAGCAGTGGTGGTAGATGACTCGATGCATTTCAGTCTTGCTGTGACTGGGTGGTGCCATTAAAGGCGAGTAGGAGGTCACAGGGCGTAAACTCAGCACTGGGAGAGGTGCTTGAACATGGTTTTCAATATGCTGATTTGTAGTGGAAAGTGGCGTATTCAAGTAAAATTATTCAGCCAGTATTCAGAGATTTTAGTCAAACTTAAGAGACTTGAAAGCTGGAAATACAGATATGGCACATGCCTCTGAAGATGATTATGGAAGTGATCTGAGGTATTGAGATAAAAGTGAGTGAATAAGGATAGAGGCAAGCCCTCCCTCCCTTCATCCATCCGTCCATCCATCCATCCACTTAGTCATGTGCTCTCACAGACAGGAGGGGAGCTGCCTCAGAGGTAATGACGTGAAGGAGAAGTGAAAGAGCCTTGGTTTGGGGAATTGGAAGGGCATCGATGATAATAAAGACTGCAATTTCAGAAGAGTAGTGGGTAAATCCAAGATTAGAGGAATTTGGGGAGATAGTGCTGAGATATTTCATCAAAGTCCATTCGTTCATTCCTTTTCTGACCTGTTATTTTTGAGCGGGGACTTTCCCAGAGTTTAGGAAGCATGACTGTTATGCTTAGGGTTGCAGTACTGCTGGGCAGAACAAAACTTAGTATTTTTGACTGAAACACTTCTCAGATCCTTTAGTATACTCATGTCCATTGTGAGATAGCAAAAGAGAGTCTCCCAAGCTACGTCGTCCTCTTTTTGTTGGAGCGTCTTTCAGGACTGACATTCTGCAGCACGTCCTCTGGGGTTAGCCAGCTTCTTGGCCTCTTCACTGCTCATTCTGGAAGAGAGAGCTTTAAAGAAACTGTCCTGGAAGAGGGGCCACCTCACTTAATTCACCTTCTTTTGTAGGAAGTTCTCGAAGAGAGGATCTTGGGAGATTTAGACAGTTGGCTACAATCCAAGAGTGACATGGATGCGGGGAGGGTGAGCGGAGTGTTGAGAACGAGTGAGCCCTCGAGGGTAGGAGGCAGCTTGCTGTCTGCCTGCTTCTGGCTCAGAGTCACACTGGGGCCGGAGGGAAAGTTGCCTTCCCCGCCACTAGTAAAGCAACAGCCTTCGACATATGTGATGTTTTCTCTCATCATTTGTATTACTTTTCTGTCTTAATTTCTGTTAATAGATCTGCAGGTTTTCAAAGTTAGAACAGTTTAACGGAACAAGTACGTTTCTGAGAAGCATTGGAGATTCTCATCCCTATTAGTAACTTTTTCTGTCGAGCAGATACATTACATTTTTCAGATCAGTTATTTGTAAGCTAGGGAATTGCCTGCCTGCAGGACACGGGGAATGGCAGGCCCTTGGATCCGCCCCTCCAGTAATCAGAAGTACGCTTCAGGCTGAACCCTGCGCTTGGGCCTTGTGGAAATGGACATGATTCTCTTTATCTTTTCCCCGAAAAGATTTCGGGTTACACGCTCACCGTGCAGGCCTCGGACAACGGCAGTCCACCCAGAGTCACCACGACCACTGTGAACATAGACGTGTCTGATGTCAATGACAACGCTCCCATCTTCTCCAGGGGAAACTACAGCCTGATCATCCAGGTGATCCTGGGCCCAAGCCTCACTGAACGCACCCCTGTTGAAATAAGCTCTTTTTTGGCCTCAGTGGTTCGTTTGAAATATCTTTCTTTTCCAAAGACTACTTTTGAGAAAAATGGGAACAGTGACATTACAGGGGTCTCCACCAATACTAAAAGATGAGCATTTCCAAGATGCTGTCATCTCTTCCTGTGCTTTGATTTTTAAGATATTCTCACTAGCTTGATTGTTAACCTTACCTTCTGCCCTTGCGTTTCCTCCTTGCCCCTTACCCTCCCTCCTCCCTGCCACTCCTCCTCCAAACGCCTCCCCTCCCTCACCCCTCCCGGCACCCCTCCCTCACTCCCCCCACACCTTTCTCCTCACATGCCCCCTCCCCTCCAGCCCCCTCCTTCCCATCACCACCACCCCTCCTCTCTCCTCCTTCCAAATGGAGCGGCAGTGTCTCTCTTTTCTGTAAATTTCATATTATAGAAAACGTGCATATGATATGGGGTTTTGTTGAAAGTTGTGTGGTTCTCTTACTCTTGCAGGAAAATAAGCCCGTGGGGTTCAGCGTGCTGCAGCTGGCAGTGACGGACAGGGACTCCTCCCACAATGGCCCTCCCTTCTTCTTCAGCATTGTGAGTGGAAACAAGGAGGGGGCATTTGAAGTCAACCAGCAGGGAGCCCTCCTGACGGCAGCTGCCATAAATAGGAAAGTGAACGACCATTACTTACTGCACATTAAGGTATTGAAGTCTGTCTTTATGATTTTGTTGTGGACTCATGGAGAAGAGCTGCTTTGGTGGTTATCTTGTCCTATGTAAACAGCTTACATTGCATGAGAAGACAAAACTGAATTAGAATTATAGTCTTTTTCTGGTTTTTTAGTCAGACCTTCATTTTTATCCCATGGCACTTCGTGGGGGCTTATTTATTCATTTGGTTACTTTGTCATAGACGTTGGTAGAGCTAAATTTCAACGTAAATTAGTGAAAGGGCTAGAAAGAAGTATTTATCCTGTCTCTTGATAATACTTCTCATGTGGAAAACTAATATCTAACGATTGGTAATATTTTAGAACTTGAACAATGTAAATATATTTTTATTAAATTGTAAACGATGACATAGATGAAGGTGATTTTTTTTTTTCCCTTTTCTCGTAGGTGGCAGATAACGGAAAGCCTCAGTTGTCATCTTTGACATACATTGACATTAGAGTCATTGAAGAGAGCATCTATCCTCCTGCAATTTTGCCACTAGAGATTTTCATTACTGCTTTTGGAGAGGAGTACTCAGGTGGTGTCATTGGGAAGATCCACGCGACGGACCAAGACGTGTATGACACGTTAACCTACAGCCTCGATCCCCAAATGGGCAGCCTCTTCTCTGTCTCCAGCACGGGGGGCAAGCTGATAGCCCACAAGAAGCTGGACGTAGGGCAGTACCTCCTCAACGTCAGCGTAACGGATGGGAAATTTACCACCGCAGCTGATGTCACGGTGCACATCAGACAAGTGACGCAGGAGATGTTGAACCAGACCGTGGCCGTCCGCTTTGCCAACCTCACCCCGGAAGAGTTCGTTGGTGACTATTGGCGCAACTTCCAGCGAGCTTTGCGGAACATCCTGGGCGTGAGGAGGAGTGACATTCAGATCGTTAGCTTGCAGCCCTCCGAGCCTCATCCGCACCTGGACATCTTGCTTTTTGTAGAGAAATCAGGTAGCACCCAGGTCTCAACAAAACAACTTCTGCACAAGATTAATTCTTCCGTGACGGATATTGAGGAGATCAGTGGTGTGAGGATATTGGATGTGTTCCAGAAGCTCTGTGCAGGGCTGGATTGCCCCTGGAGATTCTGCGACGAAAAGGTGTCCGTGGATGAAAGTGCGATGTCAACGCATAGCACGGCCAGACTGAGCTTTGTGACCCCGCGCCACCGTCGGACAGCTGTGTGTCTCTGCACAGGTAACACACATACGCACGTGGAAGTAGGCAGTGCAGGTCATTTCATGTACGACCTTTGAAGGCTATACGTTAAAGATTGTTCTCTTGAAATTCCTATTAATTAGCTTTCCCCCCTGCCCTTTTTTTTTTTTTTAAACAAAGGGGGAAAATGCCCACTTGTCCATCATGGATGTGAAGACAGTCCATGCCCTGAAGGATCTGAATGTGTCACTGATCCCAGAGAGGAGACATACAGCTGCGTCTGTCCAGGTGGCAAGTTTGGCCAGTGCCCAGGTGAGAGGTTCAATAATTAAGAGTACTTGTATTTAAAAAAGTAACTTTCAGAGTTTATTTTCTTCTTTGTTGGAGTTGAAAAGTATTGTAAAGTATGTTTATTATAACAAGCCAGACATAGAGGCGAATAAAGTAGTAGCTTTTCCTTCCTCTTGAACTCCTCCTGAGTTAATAGTTTGATGCTCCTCCTCTCTCATCAGAGCTCATATGAACATACAGTCCCATACGTACAGATTTATTTTCCTTTTCCTTTCACACCTTTTTTTTTTTTAATGAAACTGAGGAGTGAGTACATCTAACACAGCCCTCTTCCTCTGTTATGAGCATCTTGCCAAGTCCTAATGCTTGTTAATAGTTGTACAGCATTTTGTAGCACGGCTGTACCATCATTTATTCAACATGGTGCTTACGTGTAGAGATTCAGTTTATGTTCTCCTGTGTTACAAGAAGAATCCTTAAACGTGTATCCTTACATATTGGTGCTTTCATTTCTGTACAGCAGATTGTAAAACTGGGACTTACCTGTGTCAAAGGTGAACTACACTTTTAATTTTTAGATATACCATTATGTTAGTTTCCCAGAAGTTGTGCCAGTGCCTGTTTCTTCCAGTCATGTGTGAAGGTCTCATTCCCCGTTCTTTTGCTAATATTGAAGGTTTTCAATTAAAAAACAAGTCCCTCTATCTAATAAGCATGAAATGGTATCTAATTATTTTAATTGCCATTTCCCTGGCTACTTGTGAAAGCAGTCTTTTCATGTGTTCATTGCCTGTTAGCGCTTCCTCTTCTGTGACTGGCCCGTTCCTATTATGTGTGGGATTATCTGGATTATTTGTCTGTTTCTTATCTTTAATGTCTGGAGCTCTGGAGCTCTTTGTGTATTTTGATCAGAAAACATCTGCATAACGCTGTCTGTATGTTATTGATCTTTTGATTTGTCTAATTTTTATTTTGTCACTTCTGCATAATTTTACAAAACAATTTTCATCTCTGGATTGATATTATTTTCATCATTTTTGTAGAATGGGAATTGTTTTATGTCTTGCTTGAGAAGGTTTCCCAAACCACCTTCAGGCTATGTATTTTCCTAAACTGCTTTCTAATAATTTTATAATGGACATTTCATATTTAGGTCTTTTATTATCTTAGAATTCATTTCTCTGTGATACAGTAGTCTAACTTATTCTCTCCAAATAGAAATCCAGTTATGCTGTGCTGTTTATTAAACAAGTAGACATTTCCCATTGAATTGCATTTTATAATGTTATAATCATAGATCCAAAACTTGAATTAGTCAGGGCGGGAGTGTGGGGAGACACTTATAAAAATATTTAAATTTGATTCTGATTTATTTTTTCCTCTTTGTGATTCACAGGGAGTTCATCCGTAACATTTACTGGAAACAGCTTTGTGAAATATCGTCTAATGGAAAATGAAAACAAGTTAGAGATGAAACTGACCATGAGGCTGCGAACATACTCTACCCACGCGGTTGTCATGTACGCTCGCGGGACTGACTACAGCATCTTGGAGGTGAGTGTTTTTGCATATTTGTACCTCAGATTGTGGGAGACTTTAAAAATATAAATTCCATATTATGTTCAGATTGTCCATTTTTTTAAAAGAATAAGATAAGCAAAATGAAATGGTTGAGTTATTCATTTAAATGGTTCATTGATACTTACACATAAGTTTTATAGAATGAAAAGCTCTTTTTGCTCTGCGGTGATATAGACATTTACTTCTGTTTTTTACAAACATTTTTAGGTACCTGTGACTGTTAACATTCAAACTCTAAGTGATATTACACCTTAGTAATATTATAGGGAGTTTATAGAAAGGTCGTACATATGCTTGAAGTGATAATTAGCTTGCCTACTTTTTTTTTTTTTTAGCATGATTCATTTTTGACTTCTGATAAAACCTGATGCTATTTTTGGTTGTTGTTTGGTACAGTTCATTATTATACGACGCCTTTAGGATACGCGGTTGAAATTTGATATCCCTGAAAGGTCCATTTTTATTATCTGTATGATGAATGAGCGTGTGTTCTGTAGTACTTAAACGCGAGGGCTTACTTTCTTCCTTCAGTCACCAAACATGATCTGAGACTGTGCATGAAGACTCCATGAGAGTAACGTGAACAGTGATTGTTTCTGTCATAGATCCACAACGGAAGGCTACAGTACAAATTCGACTGTGGAAGCGGCCCAGGCATCGTCTCTGTCCAGAGCATCCAGGTCAACGATGGGCTGTGGCACACGGTGTCTCTTGAAGTGAATGGAAACTATGCCAGGTTGGTTCTAGACCAAGTCCACACCGCATCAGGCACAGCCCCGGGGACACTGAAAACCCTCAACCTGGATAGCCATGTGTTTTTTGGTGGCCACATCCGTCAGCAGGGCTCACGGCATGGAAGAAGCCCCCAGATTGGCAGTGGTTTCAGGGGTTGTATGGACTCCATTTATCTGAATGGGCAGGAACTCCCTTTAAATAACAAACCAAGGAGCTACGTACACATTGAAGAATCGGTGGACGTGTCTCCTGGGTGCTTGTTAACAGCTACGGAAGACTGCTCGAGCAGCCCATGCCAGAACGGAGGCGCCTGCCACCCCTCACCCACTGGAGGTAAGCTTCACACGTGAGCCTTCTTTAAACGTTACACGCGTATGCGCTTGAGTGGAAGTTCCCCCTGTATTTCTGCTCTTCCTCTTTTTATTCAATCAGTTTTGTCAGATCCTGCAGCCAGCATGGGATCTGAGTAGCATACATGATGCTCTAGCGGAGTGAGATTTTGAATGCATCCCAGCAGCGGCTGGAGGGGACAGTTTCTCTCCCGCTGAGCTGCGGCCACGCTGCTTCGTGTTTCCAAACACGTCTCATTCTGCACCAGTAGCCACAGGAAACCACAGCTGACCCTGAACTCCTCTCCGGCCACACGGACACTGACCTGGGGGTTAGAACGGGTTCCACGTAGCTCTTCTTGAGGCCTCCTTTTATCCAGTGGCCCAGCAAGGGGACTGCTAGCCTTGCTCGCTCTAGGTGGAGTAGAAGTGGTTTTCCAGAAGGCCTTGGACCCCTCATAAATTATGGTGAACTAGAGCTGGTTATGAGTTTTCTCTTCAGTTCTTTGTGTTTTGGTGATACCAGCACTAGACAACTTTTTACTCAGAGGGAATGGGAATTTTACTAGGTTTTTTACAGGTCTCGGAGAGCTAAATCTTCACCTAAACTTAAAAGTAAAAACGAATATACTGAGACTTATTTTTTGAGCTACTGAATGATAGGACTTTTTGTTCCCTTTTGCTGATATAGGTTATTACTGCAAATGCAGTGCCTTGTACATAGGGACCTATTGTGAAGTGGGCATCAGTCCGTGTTCCTCCAATCCCTGCCTGTACGGTGGCACCTGCATTGTGGACAATGGAGACTTCCTTTGTCAATGTAGAGGATTATATACTGGTCAGAGGTATGTAGAGTTTTCTTAGCTTTCATAGTTAATTTTAACATTAGCGTTTCTAATGTCATCATGTTTGTAAAATACATTCACTTGTTACCATTTAAGTATTCTGTTTATGTTTATTTTTTCCCTGTTCTTTAGGTGCCAGCTTAGTCCCTACTGCAAAGATGAACCCTGTAAAAATGGTGGAACATGTTTTGACAGTTTGGATGGTGCTGTCTGTCAGTGTGACTCGGGTTTTAGGGGAGAAAGGTAACTGGCTTCTTTCAAGATTTGTATCTGCACCTCTCTATAGTTTCACAGTGATCAGCAGATGCAACAAAACTTCATTAATTTGGACTGTGTTGCTTCAGGATTCGAATTCAGAGCTCATAATGGCTCCTTGCATAATTTATCTTTTCATTCTTTAAAATAAAAAAATACTGAGCCAAATGAATGAATATTATAATGCTTGAAATATTATATGCTTTAAATATATAATGCTTCTATACTTTAAAAACATTATTTATGAACAAAGAATGTGTGGGTGCTTGCAGGAAGTAACTGTTTGAGGAATGAGTAAGATTGTGTTTTCTAAAGCAGACACCCAAGGAGTTGTTACCTATCTGTGAGAGTGATGACATTTTTTCATCATTTATGTAGCATCTAAAATCTTTTTCCACTCTCTCAGTATCTTCTGTGAGCCTTCCATAATCCTGAGACGTGATAATTATTTTCCAGGTGAAGAAAATGAGGCGCTAAGGTGCCTGTTATTGACCTTGAAAGAAGTGGCTTTTAGTTCCAGATGCCATTTCACCTTAGTTTTTAAACCAAATGGGTGAAGTCTTACTCGGTGCTTGTTACTTGTAAGTGCCTAGTGCTGTACATCTAGAAAAGCCTTCACTGTCATATCAGTCTTGTTAGAAGGCTTGAAGCGCCACCTGCCTGCAGAGATTCACATAAGGTTTTGCTCTAGTAGTGGTTGTGGTCTTGAACTTTGCCATCAGTCATACGGTTTTCATTTGTGAGTCTACTTTAATTCTAGACAATACTCAATGTATTTAACAAAGATGTCTCAGTAATCAAAATTGTAATGCTAGATGAGTATAGGGGATGTTAAGCAGATACATTTTGTTAAAGGAGGAAGGGTTCCAAGTGGCAGGTGGATCTGCGCAGGTGCAAAATATGCCCATTTGGGAAGGCGGGAGGCTGGGCAGCAGGGGTGAGGGGATCGCATGCGGACGAGTCCATAAGGGTGAGGGTCTGAGGGAGATTTTCAACAGGGAGAAGCATATAAAAACGGAAGACAGTTTTCTAGCCTTTTTACATGCTTTATGGAACTGTCATTTTTCCAAACAGGAACATTTTCTGAGAAATTTAACCTAGTCTCTTGAAGTACATTTATCATGCACATTCTAAATTTCTGGATCAGAAATCAAGACAAACTGAGGTTTAGCCTATGAGTTTGATTTAGTAATCTGTTGAATCCTTAGAAAACTGACAGTTAAAGATTGACTTGGCATAATGTTTATCTCCCAAATGTACAGAGTATGGAATCAAATGATTCATTACTCCACGAAAGGTGTAGTTATTGTTGTCAGTAGTGTATTTTTGGGTGGATCTTATTCAGGAGGAATTAGCCGTTAGTCTCTAAGAGTCATAGGCCTGGCACGTTCTGGCTCATGTTGCAAAGGCCTCTCTCCTCAATCTGGGCTGTCTTGGCAGGTGTCAGAGTGACATTGACGAATGTGCTGGCAACCCCTGCCGAAATGGAGCCCTTTGCGAGAACACACACGGCTCCTACCACTGTAACTGCAGCCGTGAGTACAGAGGAAGACACTGTGAGGACGTCACCCCAAACCAATACGTGTCGACCCCCTGGGACATCGGCCTGGCTGAGGGCATCGGCATCGTGGTTTTCATAACGGGCATCTTCCTACTGGTGCTGCTGTTCATCTTCTGCCGCAAGATGATTAGTCGAAAGAAGAAACACCAGCCCAAACCTGAGGACAAACACTTGGGACCCAGCGCAGCTTTCTTGCAAAGACCATATTTTGACTCAAAGCTAAATAAGAACATGTACTCCGACATACCACCCCAGGTGCCTGTCCGTCCTATCTCCTACACTCCAAGCATTCCAAGCGACTCTAGAAACAACCTTGACCGAAACTCCTTCGAAGGATCGGCTATACCCGAGCACCCCGAATTCAGCACCTTTAACCCCGAGTCTGTGCACGGACACCGGAAGGCCGTGGCCGTCTGCAGCGTGGCCCCAAACCTGCCTCCGCCGCCTCCTTCAAACTCGCCTTCTGACAGTGACTCAATCCAGAAGCCGAACTGGGACTTCGACTATGATAGTAAGAACAACTTTCTAAATCTTGATACAATGTCGCTGAGCAATGGACAGTGAGGTGACAAGTTCTGCCAGAGCTTCTGGTGGTTCAGATCAAACTGCGGAGTCTTTGTGAGTGGTGAATGTGCTCAGACCCTGTAGAGCTCTGGGACGACTGGAAAGCTTTTCCTGATGCCCCAGCCCTGGCTGAGCACTGTGGCTGCGATGTTATTTTAATTTAGGAATTGAATCCAGTCATGTTCCAGTTAATCTGGAAAGATCATTTTATCTTTGTAATTGATGTGGGTTCTCAACTATAATGTGGAGGGACTTTTATGACAAAAAAAATTGGGAGGGCATTTGTGTAATAGGATTTTTTTTCCTAACGTGGCCAGAGAAAGTGACGGTATTTAAGTGGTCTGACATATATTTGATGCTTCGAAAAAATCTATAGGTACCATTTTCAAATTAATTCCCCAGGTTGTCTGATGGTGTCCACAGGCAGGTTTATTGCGAATTTCTATTCTGTGTGAGTCTGCAAGCCATATTTGTAGGTTTTTGGTTTTGTTTTTCAGATGTTTCTGGTTTTTTCTTTTGATGTTCTTTCACTAAACAAATGCCAGGCAGTCTGTGGGTCACGCTTGCCCTGCGTCAGGATACAGCAGGGAAGAAAACAGAGTCTCTGCCTTCATGGAGTGTAACTGGTTTGTCTGTCATCTCCTCCTTTTAGCTAAAGTAGTGGATCTTGATCCTTGTCTCTCCAAAAAGCCACTGGAGGAAAAGCCTTCTCAGCCGTACAGTGCCCGGGAGAGCCTGTGTGAAGTGCAGTCCCTGAGCTCCTTCCAGTCGGAGCTGTGTGACGACAACGGTGAGTAAACACACACCTGAAATGCCCTGGTCCCCTGCTAGCTGTCCACAGCCCTGCGCACGTGATGCAGCGCAGTCAGGTAGACGCGCCCGGTGCCCCTGGTTTGGTTTCACATGGTCTTCACATTTCACTTCGGACCACAGTTAGACAATACCTTGGACAGCCTTGCATGAACTTCCAACTAGGGAAAATGTTTAAAATGTTCTTAGTGCTTAGGTATTGGAACTGTAGCAACTGGTCAGTAATAAGGAAGAAAATATAATTAATTGAAAGGTAATGTCTGTCTGATTGGTTAATTTCACTTTGACCTTTTTTCCACAACAGTGAATATTATAGAAGTTATGTGGATTTTTTAAAAACCCTTGTAACAGCTTTCTTGAGCATACCCCGCGCACACACACTTACACCCTCACAGCCCTAAGAGGAGAAGCCATAGTCTGAAACATGCAACCTCAGCGGCACCTGCGGTATCACAAGGTTTTATTTGTCTCTTCCCCCAACTCCCCTGCGGCCTCAGCTCCCATTTGGATCAGAGCATACTGACTGAGAGCACAGTTTAAGAGATTGCTAGTAAGTTTGATTATATTTCTAATGAAGAAGGTTTGACGGTGGGATCATTGATGCCAGTTTTGTTTATCTGAGGGCAAATCGCCTTGATAATCAGCTTTACCATATTAGCACATACCAGTAGAGAAAACTGTCAATATTCAGAAATACAAAAAAGTGAGTTTTTAGTGGAAATTTTTGAATGTCAGAATTAGTAATTTTTTTGCATAAAAATGCCATGTGTAAACTGAATTGTTTGTGAATCCAGAGTAAATAGCCCATAATACACTGAAGAGACCTTTCTAAACTAAGGATGGCCATAAGTACGTTACATTCATTCCTGAATCACTTTAAGCATGTTTTTGTAGGATATCAAGGTACACCTGTGTTTATTATCTAGTGATGAAGTATATGGACATAACTGCTTATTAAACCAACAACAAAGTAGAATTCTTTCTTTCAGTAGGTTTAATTCTAAAACATTAGAGTTGCTGATTTATGTAATAATTTATATCTTTGTCCTTAAATGCTCTTCGTAAACCTCAGAATTTTGTCAGCATTTTCTTTCTTTTCCTAGTTTTTTTCACTGAAACATCATTCTTAATACTCTTAAATAGCTTTAATAAGCTGTGGTCAAATTAGTTATGAAAATTAATTGCCAGATAATACAATGTGAGAAAAAATACATTTTCCAGGAGTGTCTGTATTTTAATCTTTATCATAATTTTAATCATTATCAGTCATAAAGTCTGTATTAAGAGTGTATTTAAATTATATTTTTTCATTTTCTAAGGCTGTTATAATAGATTACATAGTGGCTTGAGACAAGATAAATTTGTGACAGTTCTGTAGTTTAGAAATTTGATGCTTGTCTCAGGAGGCTAAATTTAAGATGTCAGTAAGGTTGTTTCTGGAGACTCCAGGGGAGAATCCCTTTCCTGCACCTTTTCCAGCTTCTAGAGGCTGCCCCGCTCCTTGGCTCATGGCTTCCTCTTCCATCCCTCAAAGACAGCAACAGTGCACCTCCTGGCCGTTCTGCTCTAGTCACAGCTCCCCCCAGCCAAGGCTGGGAAAGTTGCTCCCCGTTTAAGAACCCTTGTGATTACATTGGGCCTGCACAGATAATAGCGGAAAATCCCTTCATCTCAGGACCTTTAACTTAATCATATTAGCAAAGTCCCTTTTGCCAAGGATAGTAACATATTCACAGGTTCCCAGGATTAGGTTGTGTACATCTTTGAGGGCCATCCTTCTGCCTATTACATGCATACTTATTTATTTTGGCATAGATGCTTTAAAACAACTGAAAGGGAAAGCAAATGAAAGGGAATTTACACAGGAAACAGCCAGGCAGACAGTCTGCATTTCTCTGCAGGATGTTAGCTCACCAGCTGTTAACTCATCTGCAGAAAGACAAGAAAATTGGGGTGGGAGTACATAGAACAGCGACAAAACCATTTTTATTTTTATGTTGCATAGTTTACCTTATTATGTAGCTCTTAATTTTTTTTCCTGGGAAGAATGAGTTTATTAAATGGTCCCAGAAAATTGGCTTAGCAAGTATTTGACTCTTTGAATATGAAATCTTTTGCCCATGGGATGTTAAAATAAGGATTGTTTTGTCATGACTTGATTCATAATTGTCATTGTGACACAAATTTATGGCTAAAAATTTTTTTCCTAAATTACAGTATCATGTGGTTACTCTGTTCCTTTGATTAATAATACAAATATATAGCTTGATTAGAAAACTCTCTGAGACATATAAGGAAGAGAGTGCAAGGGTCATACATAATTATATAGCTATGTTAAAGTAGTCACATTTTTAAAACTATGAGGTAGAAGTTATATAATATAAAGAATTGCTGTTTAATGCACTGTCTCCTGACTAACTGAAGATTTTCCTAATTTACTCCTTTTGTACCTTTTTACAAGCTTCCATAGTGACTGTAATACACCATGTCAATGCTGTAGTTGACACGGTGACTAAAGAAGGTATAGTCATGCCTGTGCTCTGTGTTTGTGTTCACAGTGACTGTCCCTGGAGTTGTGTGCTTTTGCCTACTGTAGTATTGTACAAAGTCCTTATGTTATGGTTCTGAGGAGGTTGAATACTTTTATTTTGTGCAGGCGTGTACATTAATAATCCAGATACATTGCAAAATATTGTTGTATATGTGTGTCTGTAGTCTTTGTTACTTTTTGCCGTTCACAGTGAATTTACACAGATGCCAGAAGTCACCTATAGGGTCTTGACAGCTGCCTTTACATGGCACAATAGTAAGAAGTTAGAAGTAATTCTATCTAAAAAAATTTTAATATAAAAAATTATCTTCATATGAATAGGAGTAAAACTAAATAACACACAGCTTTTATAATTAACTGTAACTGACTCTTCCTTTTTGGATTTTCCCTGAGGTATGGTCAAGGAAAATTATAGAACATGATAAGGTATATTTTTATATTTGGTTGAGTGAAAATCATTGAATAGGAAGGTTTATCTGGTCAAAATTATAGGAAATACCTGCCTTAAATTAAATTAGCCCTTTATTATACACTGAAATTCAAGTAATCACATGCAGACTGCACAGGCATTTTCAAACTGTAAGCCAGATCACCGTAGAGCTTGTGAACACCCTAATTGTTAGGCCCCAGCACCAAGGTTTCAAGGATTGAGGCGGTCTGGATGGGGCCCTGAGAATTTGCATTCCCAACCAGCCCCCAGTTAATTCTGCTGTTACTGGTCTAAGGATCGCACTGTGAGAACTACTGGCGTAGACCACCAAGAGTACATAAAGCTTAGGGGATCCTTTTTGCTAGGACATATGTGTCACCAAGATTTAGGTGAGAGAAGGGTGGTTTCAGGCCAAGTTTGATGGGATGGGGCAGGGGTGAGGTTTCCATGTTTACTAGTTACAGTTACCGATGAGCCTTACACTTACTTTCCTAAGAAGCACCATGTCTTTGCTTGGTGAGTCAGAAGGTGATCTGTATTTTGTCGACTGAATTTTAGTTTTCCCATGATGAAATTCTAATATTTTAAATATTGACAGAGTTTAAAGAAGCAAAATTTGAGTGGTTCTTTCATTGCAGTCTCTTTCATTGAAAAATATTTTCAGCATATTAAATATTAATTGAGTTAAAAATTGAAAGCTAGTTTAAATTTAAGAATTATTGAGTGCCTATTTAGTAACAAAAATTGTCAATCCTCTTTTTAAAAAGAAACTACCACAGTTTTAGCAGGCTTTTTAAAATAATTCTTTAGATACATGTTAGCTAAATACTGGCTTATTCATGTTTTAGAATCACGACAGTTTTTTCAGTGTTTGATTTAAATTCCTAGAAGAGAACCGTCAGATCTTCTTTGTTCCAAATTATTTTATCACAAGGATTTTCAAGAACATCATTGAACGCACAGAAGGCATTGGCCTTGTTGAGAAAGTCACTAATCACCATGATTCTTACTTCCACAATAATAAGAATCATGATGGTCTCCAACAGTTAGTGCTTGACCTACATTATCTGATTTAATCCTCCAAATAACTAAGGGATTTCCACCCCCATTTCAAAGATAAGAGCCTGAAGCTTAGCCAGGGTAAGCAACCTGCCCAGGGTCATGTGATTCACACTGACTGTCTCTGCTCCATGCTGGAGTTCCACATGCAAAACGAGGACCCTGAAAGAGCAAGTGGTTGGGTGGGCTCAGGGTTACAGGCAGCTAATGGTGTCTCCAAGGAAAGGTGGACAACGTAGGTATAAAATCGTATTCAAACTGGGCAAGGTTTGGAGAGATTTTCTCTTGGCTGTTCATAAGTGTCTAAGTGCATTCATGGTTTCTCTGAATTTAATGGCCATGTGAAGGCCTTGCTGTGCTGGAAAGTATGTGTCTCTTGTGTCACTGTGGCTTTTGTATTTGGGTTATCACCTAAGGGACCTGATGTGACCGAGCCTTTCATAATATTTCTCAGTAACATGAGGGTATCATTTAAATTCCTTACCAGTTTACATTTTATTAGAGCCTGTAGACTTTCAGTTACTCCTAACAAAATTTTGTGTTTTCAGGATTAGCTTGCCAGAAACAAGGGAAAGAAAGTAAAATCCTGAGTTTCCAGGCACAGTCCCTACTTCATCATCACTCATCTTTTCCCTGCACTCCCACGTCCCATTTTATTTGTGCTACACAAATTTCTCACCATTTGGAATTTTCATAGATAATGGCTTAGAGGCATGGTACATGGCTGACTGGGCCTTTATAAACAGTTATATTGTGTTATGTACTTATCTTTATTGCCTTTTCAGCCGTCCTTCTCTTTTAATTACAAATGTTTTCTTTTCTCTCTACTCTGCAACCAAAAGAGTCTTTTGCTGCTCCTGACCTCAGCAAATCAAGAGGTGACTTATGCATGCCAGTTGTTCACTGATAATTCACTAAAACAAATTGGCGGAGGTTCGACCCAGTGCTGACTTGCTTCATGTGTTTGCGCAGTAACTAGTGCATAGTTGTTCGTGCCCTGCATTCTAAACGCGACTGCCTCACCTTCGCCCGTCTGCCAAAGGATTTCAAAAATCCCGGGGTGGGGGGAGGGTTTTTTATAATAATTATACTTTTATAATATACAGTTGAAAATGATCCTTAGTCCTTTTTAAAGTAACAAAAATTGTAGTTTATCAAAAATTGTGTTACAGTTTTCAATGTTTAATTGCATTTTTGATTTGGAGGCATGCTTTGATATGTCACTGTATTAATATAGTTCATTGTTTTTCTTAGGGCTAATGAAAAGTAGTACAATTTTTAATATTAAACTTATAATGTTATTATAAAGGAAATTTATTTTTTTAAATTTTAGCATGCTAAAGATTGCTTTTATTTAAAGGCTCACATTAATTACTGTTTTTTTTTTTTAACGACAAGTAGTGCAGATCAAGTGACATTTAATATTTTACTAAATAGAGACTTCTTTCTGAAAGGACAACATTTCTTTACCAATGTCCTAAGACTGAACTAATACTCTTCTTTCTAAAGAGCAGTGGGTTCTAAATTACAAGAGGAAAGCTGAAAGGATGATTGGAATCATTTGAAGAAAAGTGCATGTATCTAGATGCTAGCATACTGCTTCTGTTAAAACTTCCATTTCTTTATGTAAGCACCTAACACTTGAGAGTTAGGTGCTTACATAAAACTGTAAGTCCACATTTTAGGAGCCAGAGCCTAATTCATAGAGGTTCTCAAAAGTGGTTCGGGATGGGAGGACGTCTTCAAAGCAGAGACCAGGGGTTTCCAGAATGTTGATCCTCTGTGCGTGGGAATGCCTTTGCACCTGTGTGTGTTGCATACACTGAGCCCTTTTTCCGTGGTACGCACTCTTGGGAGGAAAACACGTTGAAGTCTGTTTTCTTTTCTACCAAGGGTATCACTGGGATACATCAGATTGGATGCCAAGTGTTCCTCTGCCAGATATACAAGAGTTCCCCAATTATGAGGTGATTGATGAGCAGACGCCCCTGTACTCAGCAGATCCAAACGCCATCGATACAGACTATTACCCTGGAGGCTACGACATCGAGAGTGACTTTCCACCCCCGCCGGAGGACTTCCCCGTGCCTGACGAGCTGCCACCCTTACCTCCAGAATTCAGTGACCAGTTTGAATCCATACACCCTCCCAGAGACATGCCCGCTGCAGGAAGCCTGGGCTCTTCATCGAGAAGCCGGCAGAGGTTCAACTTGAATCAGTATCTGCCCAATTTCTATCCTGCCGATATGTCTGAACCTCAGAAAGCAGGCCCTGGTGAGAACAGTGCTCGCAGAGAACCCTACGCCCCTTACCCTCCAGGGTATCAAAGGAGCTTTGAAGCCTCCACTGTAGAGAACATGCCCGTGTCCATGTACGCCTCCACAGCTTCCTGCTCTGACGTGTCTGCGTGCTGTGAAGCCGAGTCTGAGGTCATGATGAGTGACTACGAGAGTGGAGATGATGGCCACTTCGAAGAGGTGACGATCCCTCCACTCGATTCTCAACAGCATACGGAGGTCTGACGCTCAGACTCCCCGCAAAGTGCCTGAACCGTAATGAACCTAGAGATTCTGTCAGTGATCTCCTGCATTGATCTTTGCAGCAGTGCTTAAGAGCTTTTTTCGGTGAGCTGAAACGGGCATGGCTGCACTGAATCCCACACCTTGTGACCTGTTAGCCATTTCCAGCGTCCTAACCTTCTGTCTTTGGATGAGGTTTACGTCGGCTGTGCCATTTCTGAGCATCTTTTTTGTATTTACATTTGTCTGTGTTAAAATAATAAAATGAAAATCAGTCCTACTATCTTGTTAGCATGATACATGTATTTATATAGATTTGATTATTTTAATTTTCCTGTCTTTTTTTGTAAATTTTATGTACAGATTTGATTTTTTCCAGTTTTAACTAGAATTTCAAGATACTTTGTGCATTTGTTTTTGACCGAATTTTGGTGGTGTTAGTGTCATTACCTAGCACCCTGATTTTTTAATATAACCAGGGTTTCACTCTGTATCCTTTTCAACTGAAGTATGACGTTTCGTTAATACATTTCAGTATAGTCATTCATTTCTATCTGTACATAGGATGAGGACAGATCCCATACATGGACATGTCTTAAATGGGTTGCTGTATTTTAGAATTATAAAGATTTTTCATTATTGGAAAGTGTAATGGGGACCTTCTGCAGACTGTTTAGAACCAAAACCACCATGACACAGTTTTTATAGTGTCTGTATATTTGTGATGCAATGGTCTTGTAAAGGTTTTTACTGAAAACTACCATTAGCCAGTCTTTCTTACAATAAATTATTAATAAAATACTTTAGCTTTACTGCCTGTTATTCCTCCGTATTTATACTCCTGTTCAGGATTCAGTTAATGAATTGAGAAAGAAGGGCTGGATGGACGGATGGATAGAAGGATGGATATAGCTTTTTTTGGCTTAAATACAAAGAGTTTCTTTGCAGTTGCCAAAACCAGACTGTACTTACAGATGTTGCCACTAGGTGGCAGTATATAGCTACGTGCTACTGCTCAAAACTATAGGTGTAGAGGCAAACGGCACTCTTACGTAATAAGTATTTTCTAACTAAAACGTCAAGAAAACTTTTCTTATGCATTTTTTATTTTATTGCTATTTCTTGGCCATAATTGAAACGCATCTATGGTTTTATCCTATGATTTATATCAAAAACAAAGCATTTTATGAAGTATTTTATCTTTCTGTTGTCAAAGAACACATCATACTTCTATAGGATTTAACGTGAAACTCAGAAGCCATCTTCCATGTGTATTTATAGTCAAAATCATCTCTCCGTCCCACAAATATTTGTTCAGTACAGACCATGTTCCAGCCACCGTGATACGAATTATACAGAATCAAGCGTTCTTAGAACTTGGCAAAGACACAGTTTCCCTTTAGGTGAAATGCCTTTGTTATTTTATTAAACGATATATATACAGAGTTTTAACATCAAAGAGAGCTAAAATACGTATAACCAAAACCAGCAAACTCAGGCACTCTGCTATAACCACTTACAACCCTTTAAGCTGTTTTCTCATTTTTCCTTTCAAATTTTTAAGTGTATGTATTGTCACTTCTTGAGTCACTAATTTTAGGAATTGCAGATCATGTAACCTGTAAACCTCCATTGCTCTTGTTATCCTCGCCTTAGTTACACCTTCCTTTTTGGTTTAATTCACACATAGTGTTTTCATTGTTTTGATGATGTAAACATTCACCACAGAGCTAAGTAACATGTGATGTTTATTTCCATTTACTTTGTAACGTTCTCATTTTCTTAATTGCCTTAATTTTTCTTTTACTTATTTTTTAGAATTTGTGACTATTTTATTAATTTATTCAAAAAAATCCTTTTGTTCACTTACTGAGTATTGTTCTGTATGGACAAAAATTCTCTGTCTCCTTGGATTTTACATGGGGGGAGGGTAGGTGGCAAGGGGAGATGGTGAATCAATAAGATATTTCATAGCAGAGTATGGAGTTATGAGTGCTGAGGAGAAAAATTGCTATTGGGGAAGGAAAGCGGTGGGGTGGATGGGGGATGGGAGGTAAAAGCTGAAGACCTCAATGGCAAGCTGGCATTTGAATAAACACCTGCAGTTGATAAGGGAGAATGAGGCCACGGGGCCACCTGGTGCACCAGCATTCCTGGCAGAAGAGCTAGTAAAAAGGCCCCAAGGTTAAGAAGGTCGAAGAAAAGAGGGGAAACAGGTGTGGCCTCTCATGGATTTATAAAGTGCCTCTTAGGACGTGGTCAAAACTAGTAGGTGACCATTGCTGATATCTATAGGTCTTTTACTTCAAGGATCTATTTCTCCAGAGGAGGGACTTCGCACTTCCAGCTTGAGAAATACCGTTGCTCTTATTTTAAAGTTGACTGGATGGGAAGACTGGAGGTTTTATCATGCACGTAGTCCCCCAGCTGTCATTTCTGGGAACATTCCTCCTCCCTCCTCTTTGCCTCTTGCCACCGAGTCTGCTCAGGACGGAGCTGAAACACGGGTCTGTATACAACTGAAACAGCCAGCACCCCTGGTACTCACCCCGTTGTCACCCACTTTCCAGTGAGAAATCATTGTAGGCTGCACGAGCTCTCCAGGCTGTGAGGTCTGATTCCTCCTCTGCTAAGGCATGATTTATCACTCCCCGCACCATCCATCTTCATACACTGTAGTGTGGTTTATAGTTAATACCTTTTTACTTGCATTGAAAATGGGGCTGCTTTTTAACTTTTTCCCCCTTTCCCTGTTTTGGATTTTCAAGAGAAGAAATAGAATGCTCTGCCACCTTAAACTGGAAGTCTGGAATACGCTCTTAACCACTGATTCCCAGTGTCTAGAACGTTAGTATGTTAGTTTCCTATTGCGCCACAAATTACCAGAAATGTGGTGGCTTAAAATAACTCCCGTTTGTTAGCCCCAGTTCTGCAGGTCAAAAGCCCAGCATGGCATGGCCAGGTTCTCTGCTCAGATCTTGCTAGGCTGAAACCAAGTTTTCAGCTGGGCTGGGGTCTCTTATGAGGCCTGGAGTCCTCATCCAGGTTCACATGGTGTGGGCAGAATCCAGTTCCTTGGGGTCATCGAATTGAGGTCCCCATTTTCTTGCTGTACAGCCGAGTTTCCTGCTTTCTCACTGACAGTGCCCACTTTATTGGCAGCGTCTGACTCAGGTTCTAGCTCTGTGACCCTCTGATAACATAGTAGCTTACATCTTCAAAGCCAACGGACCTCAGGAGGGGCCCAATCCCTCTTCTAAGGACTCACCTGATTGGGTCAGGCCCACCCAGGATAATCTGCCATTTGATTAATTAAAAGTCAACTGATGAGTAACCTAATCATGGGAGTTCCCACTGTATTCGTGTCCACACTCAAGTCGGGAATTACACTATGTACTCCCCAGGGCAGGGTTCTTGTGGACCATCCTGGAAGTCTGCTGGCCACCATTGGCACTCTTTGTTATTTTTTATTTTTACGATACTTTGACCTTCTAAAATATTATACAGACCATATTTTAAACTGAAGACTATTTGCATTTTATTTTTTTTAAGAAAAGGCATCATCTTGGGCTCATTGGAAATGAATAAACAACTGACCCGAGGTCTCAAATGAAAACGATTACTTTAACATAACACAAACTATATGAATTGAACACTTTTGTTACAGAAGAATCCGAGCAGCCACATAGTATAACTAGCATATGCTTGTCCATTTTTTTTTCCTAAAGACCCTTTACTTCCATAAATCTTGATAGGTAGAAGCCAGGGTCTGTCACTTTCCCCAACTAGATTTCATTTTGACTGTTTGCTTGTTACTCATTTAAAATTCCCTTGCAAAATTCAGATGCCTTAGAAAATTCCACCACTTTTTCAGTATTTCTGGACACTGCTAAATGTCCTTTTCACCTGGATTCCGTGTTTTATATATTTTTTGGTAGTATATTTCTATTTGAAGGCCACTTGTTATTTGTCACATTCTTTATCTGCTACCCTTGGAAACTGGTTCAGTTTAAAAGGAAAGAGTTTTACAGGCTAAATATCCATTAGAAAAAAAATGCTAGCTAAAAACATTTGAACTTTTAAATTTTGATTTCGGACTTATTTTTTTCAATTCTACTCTAAAATTTAGATTTGTGTGTATGTGTGGCAGGAAGAGTAAATTTACTTTAGGTAATTGTGCTTACCACATTCGTTTTGTTTGTTTGATTTTTGGCGGTACGCTGGCCTCTCACTGTTGTGGCCTCTCCCGCCGCGGAGCACAGGCTCCGGACACGCAGGCTCAGCGGCCATGGCTCACGGGCCCAGCCGCTCCGCGGCATGTGGGATCTTCCCGGACCAGGGCACGAACCCGTGTCCCCTGCATCGGCAGGCGGACTCTCAACCACTGCGCCACCAGGGAAGCCCCACATTCGTTTTTATCATACAGTGTGTGGAGCTGTCATACTAATCTGCAAAGTGGGAGAGATGCTTTCCAGGTGCTGAGAAGCTGCGTTAAGCTTTTTGGATTGCTTTTAATTTGCGAAAGCAAAAAACTGGCCGCCTGAGTTCTCACGTACCTTCCCAAAGAAACCAAGCGTGAGCCTAGGAAGTGGGGGATTGACTCTAAAAGCATGGTGATGGAAGAAGGAAAGGTACACCCAGGACACACTCATTGTTAATGAGTGATATGAATTCAAAAGCTGTTGTTTACTCTTTCTAATGAAAATACTAGATAAAGCTGTAGGAAATCAGTGCTTTGAGTTGCCAAAATGACCTGTTATAGAATTTTACCTAATGTTATTTATTGATAATTAAAACAAATTAGTAACCAGGTTATCAGCAGGGATTAGAAGCTTTGACTCTTTCAGTTCTCTTCCTTGAAGAACGTTGCTGCAAGAGAGTTCCTCTCATGGAACCTATTTGTGTGTAAACCGAGGGTTTCTGGGTGTGTTCATCCGTGCTGCTGTCTAACAGTCACTGAACTTTTGCCTCCTGCCAGATGCTGCCAGGCTCTAAAGATACTCCCTGGTGTCTCTTTTCTTGGTTTCCTCTAATGATTCTGGGATGATTTCTTACTAAGCAGAATCGTTCAAAGTTTTCAATGTTTTAACACATTTAAATATAAGCATTGTAGGAGATTGAAACGTGCTTATTGCACTTGATTAATAAACTCCAAGACCAGGGAAAACACCTGCTTCCCTTCTCCGCTGCCTTTTAGCATTTCTGCTTTTGGGGATGACGCAGAACCAGCTCTACTCTACTAGTGGGCCATCCTAACAAGCACAGAATTTCAACACAGTGCCCTTTCTAGGTCTTTTCATGGGGACACTCTGGTTATGCACAGTTTATTTCTATTCAAATCATCACAAGACGACATTGGACGGGGCTGTTGTTCTCTTCATTTTGTCATTCGCCTGCATAAAAAGAGTATTTTGAAATGTATTATATCTTTTAATTAAAAAAAAAAATTAAAAACATCTATATGGTGTTCCCAATCGTGTAGTTCATAGGCACATAGAGTGGAAATGCAATGATCACTCCAGACACATTTTCTTAAGATTTCTGGAATGCAATCAATCCAACATTTAAAATCTGCCATTCTATAAATCTTATTTATTTATATTTTTTGGTTTAAAAAAATTAAAAAGTTTTTGAAAAAAGTAGATAAGAATCTACTACTAGATTCCTATCTCCCAGAAACAAATCCTATCTCGCAGAAACAAATCCATTATCATTTTGTGTGTATAGTCTGATTTTATTTTCTGAGTGTGCTGCCTAAGATTGATTTACAAACTTGGTACTTTGTATCCAGTTTTGCCCCC